TTAAAGAAGAAATATAACAGATAATCGGTAAAATTAAATTCAATTCAGTAAAAATAATTTAAGTTCAGTAAAAATAATTTTATTTCAATAAAAATAATTTCAGTTCAGCAAAGGTGAAGTGAACGGGGCCTTACACTTAGGCCCCGTACTTCACGTCACTTTTTTTTTTACTGAACTGAAATTATTTTTAATGAACTGAAATTAGTATTACTGATTTTGTGTTATATTTCTTCAAAGTTATTGATTTTTAGTGAACGGAAATTATTTTTACTAAATATTTTTTTTAAGGTGAAGTGAATAGGGCTTTATACTAATATTCATTCCAGTGGCTGTGTTAGCTTATAGACACCATATCTTTAAGTGTTAATTATTTAGGAGTGTCAAGCTATCGATTTTTACATACTACAATAAGTTTTGCTGCAATGTCAGGTGTAGATTAGCCTTTTCCGGGACATATGGCATGATTCAAAATCCAATTTGAATTATACAAATCATCATCAACAATCAAACAAGCTTTCCAAGAGTCTAAGATCAAGTTATCCCACACACTAGATCAAGTCTACCTTAGCTTAGTCCTTGGGGCAATGTTTCGTCGAGACTTGCATTCTCTTCAATTCTCGACGATCAAATAAACATCTCAATATAGTGCACAACGCAAAAGCTAGCAAAAGAACATAATTCGAAAAGCAAACAAAAGCAACAATGGAGTTCAAACTAAACCGAGCCTAAAACCATGTCACGAGTTCACGACCTTAGAACAAATGAGACCAACACAACAAAAACCCGTGTCTAGTTGATTTGAATCACAGCAGATGGGGAGGACCTTGGGAGGTTCGACAGCATGTGAAAGAGTGAGAGTGCAGCAATTGTATCCATCCCAATTTCTGGTCTTGTACGCCTTGTTTATCATCGTACATATTTGTATATATAGACAGTTTCTCCAGCACTTTTGCACGTCTCAAGAGACAATCTTCACTGTCTTAAGGTGTTGTAGACCTTTCATTTTTATAAATTCGGGATAAGTGACGTTATCATACATCACCTGCATACAATAGGATGAAATATCGACATTATAAATATAGTTACAATAAATAAGCTACGTATGTACATACTTCCTCCATCTGGAGACGCACTAGCTCTCATAAGATGTCCGTGAAATTTTCAAGTTTCCTAAAATAGAATCAGGTTACTCCTTATACCCATGTTAAATGGTATACATGGTACAAAGTAGGATAGAAATAAGACAACTATTACACCGTAGAATTACCAAAAAAAAAAAGGAAAAAAAAAGTGTATCATAGAAAAGAAACACGACAATGAGAAGAATCATACTCTTTTAGACGATGAAGTCCACATGTTGATCGTCAACTTCTCTAGCTTGGGGCATTATTAAGCATGGTTGCTATTCCGTGGAGTTCCCATTTCTTTAGGTTGATATCCAAAAGTAAGACTCACACAATTTGGAAACGAATAAGGCAATGCTTCATTAAAGAGAACCTACATATTGTCCAACTATTAAAATGAATCAAAGTCATATATATAATCACAAAGGCCCTAATCTCTTCACGTATAACGTATTATATGCTGAATTGAAATTATTTTTCCTAAAATTATCTGATTCTTTTTTAACTCGATTAATTTTACTAAATTATTTGCTAAAAACTAAATTAATTTTACAATAATTTAATTATTTTTGCTGAGCTTAAATTATTTTAACTTAATTTTGATTAATTTTATTGGTTGTTGTTTCTTTGAAGTAGTTATTGATTTGTATTTACGGGACTTCACTTATATAACTAAATAAAATTGAAATATACTAACCTGGATGCACCAACTTCCGAAAGTGAGTTTTTTTACATTTTGAACACTACTAACAAAAGGTCCTCACCATAGTAACCCTCTCCTCAACATCATCCTTTTCATAAGGTCGTTCATCATCATTGTATTTCATTCGATCATTGTAATTCAGTCGATCAAACGACGATGTATTTCCTTCCTTGAATGTTGCCTCCATCAAGGAAGATAAAATCTTAAACACAACCTTCTTGTAACACATAAACTTAGAAACAACCAATAGTTTAAGGAAAGGAGCTGAAACTCTAGCTTATTACCCACTTCATTACAACGAAATCTATAATTATCAAGCACCAGAAGTCCAAAACCTTTAATTTATTAGAGACAACTAGCCTTCTGGCCCGTGCAATGCACGGTTTATTTATAGGTATACTATATAAATAATTATTTTTAAATATATTTATATTGGCAAATGAATAGTTTATAGAGGAGAAGAAGAGGTGAAAATTGAATGTAATTGTAGTAGAAATTAAACTGGAGGAAAGTGAACCAAACAACGTTCAATCATTCATACATAAAGTTTTTTTTTAATATGAGAAAGGGGATTTATAAAAAAGAAAGATTAAATGAGGTGACCTGTGGCTTTCGAGAAAAAAATGAAATGTACATGTGGCATTATAGGGATGATGGTTTTTGTTTTTGAATACTAAGTATAGATAATTAGATATAGATATCTAAGTTATTAATCCCATCACAATTAACCAATTTCAAGCACTCTAAAAGCGGACAACCCATCATTATTTTTGCCAATACTTTATCATCCAAACTAGTATCTTCCATTACCAAAGTCTTCAACGATGACCAATTAATCGAACTTTTGCAATCCGAAAACTCGCAATTTCTTATACTCAAGCTTGTCAAAACCTTATTTTCGAACAAGAATCTAGGCAACACATACCTAATTATCTGATGTCCGAAGCCTAGAATAAGGAGCAATTCAAGGTCTTTAACCTTACGTGTAACCGCGAAAGCAACCCAAGTATCAACTTTAGGTTTACCATGGTTTGGCAAATTACCATTATTGTTACCAAACTTTCGAAGCGGAGTTTCATAGTGAAAAGCAATGCAAAATCTGCCGATTTTTTGGAAATTGAACCTGACTAACGTTGCATCCACAAAATACATTGTTGTTAATATGTTCGCGGAAAACGAGAGAGCGAAGGGAGGACCTAAGAGGAGCCCAGCGCTTAGAGAGGGAGGGCGCGGTGTATACCGGTCGCGTGCCGGTAGAAAACTTAGTATATGGAGGAGGATTGCGTCTGGTAATTTACTTATTCGATCGATCTTGGTTGAGCTTTTTAACCGGGGTTTCTTTGGATTGTTGGTGGCCATTTGGGATTCCTCCCAACTTTCAAAACTAAGAACGAAGGTTTAATTAGGGTTTATGAATGTCTGTCGTATATATGAATATAAAATAAGTTACAAATATTTATATTAGAGTTGTCAAATGGGTCGTGTCAATGTTAAACGACACCCTTGACTCAAACCTAATCCGTTGATTAAACGAGTTGAAAACTCTTGACCCAACCCTAAGACGTTTATTAAACGGGTTACCCGAATAACATTTTACCCACATGGCCGCATAATACGTAATAGACTAATTAATATTCAATTCAAAAATAAAAAAATAGACATCATTATTTCATTAAGATATTATACTACAACAGTTTAAAGTTAGTGTTTTAGCAAAAGATACTACAAGGGTTTAAAACTAGCTAGTAGTTTTAACAATTCAACCACCCATGAGAATTGTCTCAAATTAGATTTTAATTTACGAAAGATAAACATTATAATTTTTTCGTCAAATTAACCGTCAAAAAATTACCAACATGTATAAATGGTAGTGAAGGTAATTAACAAATTTACAAGTTTTGATTAAAAAAAATCTATTTTTTTTACTACTTAATAAGGGTTGTTCACATTTATTGAACTGAGCTAAACTGAACTAAATTGAACTGATTGGAGCTGAGCTGAACTAAGATGAAATGAATATTTTATGAGAGAAGGAAATTAGAAGCTGAACTGAACTGATTGGAGCTGAACTAAACTGGTTGGAGCCGAACTAAAGTGAACTGAGTTGAAATGAATATTTTATGAGAGAAGGAAATTAGGAGTTGAACTGAACTGATTGGATCTGAACTGAATAATTTATGATAGAAGGAAATTAGGAGCTGGACTGAATTGAATTGAACTAATTGTAGCTGAAATGAACTGAACTGATTAGAGCTGAAGTGAACTGAACTGAACTGAAATTAAGCTGAAGTGAACAAACCTTAATTAATAGATTGTGTGTCAAGTTCGGGTTGACGGATTGTTGTTCAACCCATTTATATAATTGGGTCATGCATGTCAGTTTCGGGTACCTAACCCGTTTAATTTGTGTCGATCCATTATGTAAACGCCGGGTCAAGAAATCTTTATATCCAAATCCGCTTATTTCGTGTCGGGTTACCGTATTGTGTCAGCTTTTGACAACCCTAAATATTACTCCCTCCGTTTTTAAAAACTTACTCCACTTTCCTTTTCTGACTGTTTTTAAATACTTGGTCCATTTCCTTATTTGGAAAGCTTTTACAATATTTAATTAATTTCTGAGGAATTCTAGGACTCTAACTGTTAGAGTCATTTATGACTCTAACAAGGGGTATAATCGTCCATTCACTTTTACCGTACTTGAAAAAAATAATGTCATCACACAGACTTGTATTTTATTATACTTTAGATAGTATCACCATGATACCAACCACTTTATTCAATGATACCAACGAACATAAAATTGTTTTGTTGGTATCGATATAATTTGTTGTTGGTATCATGTGAAATACCAACGAACGTGTGCTGTTAGAGTCATAAATGACTATAACGGTTAGAGTTCAAGAATTCCTCTTAATTTCTCTCATCAAGTGGTCCCAACAATATTAATTTCATATTATCTCTCTTTCAATTTTCTCCACTATTTTTGGTTTTTTACAAAAAAAATTACTTTCACCAACCCCACTACCTCCATATTTTATTAATTTCTTCTATTTTTCTTTAAATTCCGCGGATGAAAATTAATAAAATTTTGGAACAAGTATTTTAAAACGGAGGAAGTGTTCATAACATTCCTTATGTCAAATATAGAAACCCACCAAATTTTATCAAACAAGTCGTTGTAGTATAGTGGTAAGTATTCCCGCCTGTCACGCGGGTGACCCGGGTTCGATCCCCGGCAACGGCGCATTTTTAAGATTTTTTTTTAATCTAAGAAGGTTCAAAATTTGCGAGTTCTCCAACACGACGTATAAAACCCTCCAAAATCCCGCCTTTTTCTTTCAATACTGCTGCTATCATTTCTTGCTACACTCTTCTTCTCTTCAGGTTTTTTTTCCCAAACTCCCCAATTTTTTTTGCTAATTTAATCATATTCATTTGCATTTCTTCAACACCTAATTTCACATATTATGAATTCATCGTATAATTTTAAAATTTGTATTTCTAATCAATTTATTCTACTGAACTTGTTCAAACTCAATTAGGGTTTTAAATTTGATTATTTTGTGATTTCTGGGATTAATGTTTCTGAATTTTGCAGAGATTAATCAATTTTTGGCAATGGAAACCGATGAATCAGAACGAGTTCTTCCTTTTCAGCTTCAATTTGACAAACCAGCGCCTTCTCAGGTTCTCTTTCTCTCTCCTACAGTCCTACTATTACTAGTTTTTGAAAGTTTAAATAAATTTAATTCTTCAATTTGATTATATCTATGCATTTGATTAGATAAAACTGGCTGAATGGAATCCAGAAAAGGATTTATTGGCAATGGTGACCGAGGACTCCAAAATTATACTGCACCGCTTTAATTGGCAACGATTATGGACAATTTCACCTGGTATGTGTGTTTATTTTGGCTCCATTTCCCTGTTATGAAATCAGAGCATTGATTTGTTGAAAAAAGTTTAGGGGCATTGGTTTTTGCTTGGAGTAGTCGTCGTTATTTCATTGAATTAAAATTCACCTTTGTTGGAGTATATGGTGTGAGAATTAAGATCACGAGTGGGAGTTTGTAGATTGTGTCGTGTTAATCAAGTTGGGAATTATTGGATAATTCTACTTTGGATTAGTTTGGAGTGAATTTTATGGATTGGAACTTAGGTTAATATGAGTAACATTTTATGGTGAAGAAATACATTGTATGACTTAAATCATGGACTTTACAACGTGAAAGTTGAAAAATGGTAGATGTTTGCAAGCATTATGTGGTAGAAGCCTAGAAGGAATAGATTAATTGATTAAAGAAAAGTTAATGAAATATGTGTGTCTTTTATTAAGAGAATTGCCATGGTCCGGTCCATAATAATACAACCTCTAAAATCAGCAATAGTTATGCTCTTTAATTTATTATAAAAATAGCTTATCTGCAATTTTACTGATGGTTTCACGGATGGATTTTAGTTCATGAGTACAACTCCCCCAATATAGTTTCTGCTAGAAAGTCTGTCTAATTGTGGATTTCTTTATTGTGTTCACCTTATGCCATTCTCCCTTGTGGTAATGCTTATAAAATTGGTTAAGTATTTTAAGAGGCAATAAATCTTCTTTTACTTCTTAGGTATTGAATTTCTTTGGCAGGTGCTTTATTGAATGTTCTGCGTCTTATATGCTTTCCCTTCTAGTATTTTATTCTGTAAATGTGAATGGATATATATATATATATATATATATATATATATATATATATATATATATATATATATCCTGCAGTCTCTGTGTAACTTTGACTTGGTGATACTCTGGTTCAATAATACCTTTTGTTTTATATGATCTGACTAAATATTATGAGTACAATTTACTGTGGACCATACTATTAGAAGAATCTTTAAAATCTGACTTTAATTGATGTTTCTAAATCATCTTAGGAAAGTGTATAACATCATTATGTTGGCGTCCTGATGGTAAAGCAGTAGCTGTTGGCCTTGAAGATGGAACCATATCGTTGCATGATGTTGAAGTTAGTACCTAAGATGTTGAAGTATTATACAGTTGCTTTTTATTACTCTGCGCCTCATCATCATCTTGTTCTTCCATAGTATGTTTATTAATTTATTATTATAAATTTTCTGATTACTCTCCTAGCTTTACTATTCTGCTTTTTTCTGATTTGCGAGATTTGTTGAACATGACCTGTCTATAGTTTTTATGCAATGCTTAACATTGCTTGCCTGTTCATTTTGTTTCTCTCATTATGATTTAACTTCTTGATGCTATTCTTTGATTTACATGTTCTATGAGATTTCTAGTGACAGTGTTTGGGTGTGTATGTGTGTCTCCCTATCACTCTTCTTTTTAGGGATGGGGCAGGGGTGAAATGAGTATACTATTTGATCTATCTTCCACAAGGATATCCTGTATCTGCTTTTACTAGGTTGGTTGTTCAACTTTCCCCCTATCCTTCTCACAAGTGTACTTCTGAGTTCTGACCTTCTCTTTCATGTACTCTAAACCCAAACGTAACTAACAGCTTTATAAGTAATAAGTACATAATGCCTCAGCTTTTGGCACTTTTTGCCTGCGAATTCAAGCGTACTCAAAAGGTCCCCATTACCAACGTATCATCATGGTGAATACCTGGCACAAAATTGGTTCTCTGTATAGACTCTTGGCACTAAAGTTTCATGTATATCCATGATCATAACGGTGTATTTTAGTCTTTGAGAGAGTATATTGTGTTTTAAAGTTTTGAACCTTCCAACCTCTCTGTGTAGATTTAAAAGATATATCTTCTAAAAGATGGTAGGCCTCAGTTTTCTCTTAGACGCCAAACTAAAGTAGCATGTTTGACCCAAAATTGGTAGATATATAGGAAGGCAGATTTAATTCATGATCTGTATCGGCATGTATTTCTCAGTGTTGGAAAAGACTGTTGGTGCACTGAGGCAATTGATGTCCTTAGGCCTTTGCACAAAGCACAGGTGTATTGTATAATTAATTCCTGTTCCTGCAAATGCAGGTTGTACGATGGACTCTTGGTTCTGCCATTTTATGGTGTTAAAAGAGTGGGTTCCTGGTAGTTGAGTCCATGCTCCATGCCTCCATGGTTAACAGAATTAAATTTAAATTCTGCATTAAGAGAAATAAAAAGAAGTGGTGATATGTCTTCATGCCTGAGTGCACCTCATCACAAAAACCTCACCAAGACCTTGATTATATAAATAATGGCAAAGGATTTTCTAAACTCTTGATTATTTCAAACACCGATATAACTTAGAAGAAAAATTATTTCAACCTTCTTGAGTATATAAATAATGGCAAAAAATGAAATACAAAATCTTTGATGTGAGGTTTTTTGGAAGGCATATTAATTAGGAGATAAATATTATTGATCGTGAGCTATTAAGAACCTAGATGACCTCAATAGTCAATACTAGAGAATGATTTCGTTTTTGTCTATTTCCAACAGAATCTATGATTTAATATTCTTTGATATTATAGCCTACCTTGCTTTTATAATCTAAACTTGAAGAAATGTAGCATTTAACAGTTTTCCCAAGTTACAGCTTCTCCTGAAAGACTTGGTTCCCTCACTTTACCTGTCTATTGTAGGTTAAATTAGTTCTTTTGTGCTATGTAGTTGTGAAACTTTCTCCAACAACACTGTGCAGATTTTATGAATGAGGAGTTTGTGCTGAAATATATGTATATATATTTCGTGGTGACAACTAATTGTTGAGAATTTTCTTGATATTAATAATATATACTATTATCTTTCTGAATGCTTCTATTACTGCAGAATGGGAAACTATTAAGAAGCATGAAGTCTCACACTGCTGCGGTAGTTTGTCTTAACTGGGAGGAGGATAATGGACTTGGACAGGTGACTAGAGCTTATAATTGTTTTTTAAAATTTATTTATCTTGTACTATTTCTTGCTATCAAAATTCATCCAAACCCCTCAGATTGGAATAGATAAAAAAAACTTTCATCAACCCAAAAAGAAAATGGAAGTGCTTTGTGACTTGATGCCCAAATCATTTTATTCTTATGTTGCAAGGATGCATATTTCGTTGTCTTTTTATTTTAGAATTCTTTTTAGTCATAGTATATAACTATATTTCATATTCCCTTGTATTATAACTACATGTATTATTTATTTATTATGATCCAGGATAATGAAGACAACACCGTGTCTTATGAAGATCGTACATTGCGTTTCTTCCCTCCTGCTCCAAGAGTCCCACGGATGCCAGGAGTAGTATCTGGAGATTCCACTCTTATAGATAACACTGAAGATTCGTTTCAGGATCTGCTAAATACTTCGCATCAACGATTTAATATTTTATGCAGTGCTGATAAAGATGGAAATGTTTGCTTTAGCATATTTGGTATATTCTCCATTGGAAAAATTGTGAGTAACTTAATTGCCTTATGTGCTATATTGGAGCTGAATTCAAATATTATGAATGTACCATTAGCTTTCTTATTTATTTTTAGCATCTTTGATTTGGTTAGCTATCAGCTTTGGTTAGAAGACTTAGAACTGGTAAAGATACACCTGAATGAAGCCAGCTTGAAACAAAGGGACTGGTAACCAATATTTTATCATCTGCAAGTAGGTATTACCTGGATGAGGGAGTCAGATGTGAAGTTTTTTAGGTTTACCCATAGGGTCAATGGTTTGTAGCATTAGTTTATGTAGGAACAAAAATTAGAAGTTAAATGTTGTTCTAAAAGGGTGAGAGTAGTAATAACCATAAACGAGTTTAGTTTTTCTTTTGTAGGGTAGAAGTTTGACTTTTTGTTATCTAGATACAAACCAAAAGATTGGGGTTTTTTCAAGCATTTTCCAGCTGAAATTGGAACTGCATGTTACCTGAATTGATCTGATACAATGTGTAAACTAGCTTCTTCTGATTGACAGGTAGTTGTGCTTATTTGTAATGTCTTGACCAGTTGACCTATATGCATAACTTGTTGCATTCTTTCGAGAATATGAAAGTCATGTGTCAGGTCAATCCTCAGACACAATTCAGAGATCACTCTTCCTCATCCACCTATATCATAATAAAATTTCACACAGCTTGAAACCTGTGCTTCTTACCATCAATCATCGCTTATTGTTTATAAAATAACATTACTGAAATAAAAATATTCACTTCAAAACATAGGCTTTAGTTAAATTCTGTAATCAAAGCCTACTAACATCAAATAATGTTCTTGCCATTATAATTTCTTCAAATTTACTGGACAAGAGTCAGTGAGTCACATAAGGCCCATGTTATTTTTGAATGACGAGAGTATCATTTATTTTACAACTCTGGTTTCTAATAGGCTATAATATGCTAACTACACCTTATTTTCCTACTTTGTGACTACTCCTGGAAGTAATGGAATGCCTTAAATTATATTAAATGAGAAAGGACTAAAAGTCATGGACTTATCACTTAATGTTCATGTCCTGATCACTTGATAATTGCCTGTTTTGTTTTTGTGAAGGAAAATGACAGCATCTTTTAGTATGGCTACAAGTGAGATACACTGTTCTAACTTCTAACCTTTCCGAAGCTCATTTGTGGGATTTAATATGAAGTGTGCTCTCGTCTTTGGAAGTTATATAGAATCTTGTGTTTCACATGGCTCTGTTTGATTTAGTCAATTAATTTTTTTTTCCTGCAAATTATCATTTTTACTAAATTTTACCATTCCTGACATCAATTGGGTTTCTGCCAGAATATACACAATTTGTCTCTTCCAGTACTTGGCAATCAAGTAGCATTTCAGATCCTGCATGCTTCCATTTATAAGGTGAGTACCTTCAAAAGCAATCTATCCTTCAAATGTTCTCTGATATTTTCCTGACTCCAAAATGTAAATAGTGAGTAACAATCTAAATTGGTATGATTAAGAATATTTTAAGCTTCTTTTATGGATGAATCAGTTAAAGAGCTAAGTTTACATTTGGACACACAACTGTTTAAAGTATGATTACTATATGCATGTGTTCTCCCTATTTGTTTAATATTTCTTTTGAGGTGTCAAGTTTGAAAATATAATTTCCATTTCAAGGAATTCAATTTAGGGTTATTTAGTCTAAAAACTGACATTTAGGTACAGCATGCTGATTCTCTTTTACATTTACCTACCATGCATATTCATTTAGCCTTTTTCGAGTTTTTCCTATGAAAATGAACTTAATTTGTGAATTCTAATTTCTTCCTTCCTCTGGAATTAGATTGCTTTGTCGAAGGATTTTTGTCGTTTGATCATCGTCTGCTCTGGAGAAATTTCTTGCAGCAGTAGTGATTTCAATCATGGGCCAATGTCAGGAAATAAAACTGAGGGTATGCATTGCTTGGTGCTGGACACCTCTATTTTCCGGAAAAGGTAATATGCACTTTGAAGATATTGAAGTTAAATGGGATCTAGTTTTTGTAGCACCTCCTGATTTAGATCACTCTACTAGAAGTCTAGAGATATTTCCTATTGGCACACTTGTTCATTCATTTAGTGGTCTCATGTCCAAATCATAATATTGACACTTAAGAGCTGTGGTTTCTATTCTCATGCTTATCTCGTCCTTGCTTCAAGTACTAGTGTCATATCTTGGAACTCGAGAGTCATGGTTCTCTGTGTTTAAATGTATTAGCATGATGATTTTCCAATTAAGTAATGCATGCGGATTGTTGTGTTTGAATCCCCTTATCTCTACTACTGGGGAGTTGGCCTTGATTATAACTCTTTCTTTAATGCCACTTGTAATAACATCAGTGAACATGCAGATGCAGATATCATCACTTCCTTAATACAGTCTTGTAAATTGGATGTGGTAGCTTCATTAGCCATTCTGCATCTCTGTCTTTCAGATGGGAAATCCTGAAAAAAATTTAAGCTAAACAGTTAATGTAAGAGTCTAAGAGAAACTTCAAGAGGAACGGAAATAGTCTACACTGGTACATTGATTATATGGTTTGTTATAGCTATTTTGTGGTTGAAACTTGAAAGCACTTGGACTTGATATAGAAAGTAATATTCCAGCTAGCTAAATCTGCTAGTTGCTCTGTGTTGGACATCATGTGTGTGTAAATTCTGGAGAAAAGTTCATCGGCCATTTAGAAATTGTAACATTAACTGTTCATTTTTAATTGAATGGTTTCCCTTAATATTAAAATCATGCGTACATACATTAAAAAAAAAAAATAATAAATAAAATAAACATTTTGAATCATATGTGCTTCATGCTAGCCTTGTTTTCAAAATTTCAAGTTTAACCAGCTTTAATTAATGTGAAGGAGTTTAAGAATTTGCATTTTGCTGAAGATCATACTTTTTGTAGGAAACAAGAGCTTCATCAAATCGCTCAACAAGCTTCCAGCGTTGAAGATTTGACTGAGGTCATTCGAGCATCACTTTCAATCATGTATAAGCAGTGGTGTGATGCCATGCAGATATTCCAAGACAAATTTCATTCTTTATCTACACTAATTGTTGACCACGGTAATCTTAATGTGGACCACACTACAGCACATCTACATTTATTTTTGACTTTACTCTAGACCTCCGTCTGTTTCATTTATAGGACTGGACTCATCGCCTCAAGAGGAGTTTTTGAGTCTTCTAGGAGGCGCTCGAACTAGTCCACCGGTTCATCAATTTCTGGTCAATTCTCTTGGTGAATCGGTATGATGAACTCACATGGTGCGTGTATGGGGAAGGGGCAAAAATTTAGATACTTATTCTTGTTTCATTCTGAATAGGGACTCAAGCGAGTGATGAAGGCTGTATCTAGTGCAGGAAGTGAACTTCAGCTTATTCTCCTTGATCATATCCAGGTACCCCTCTTTTCCACTCCTTTCACTCTTATCTCATGGTTGTATACTTTTAATTATCTATTACATTAACCTCTTGACATATTTAATGGTAATATCAATTAGAGATATTAGTAAGGGCACAATTCTGTCCTCCATTCTCTCCTCTAATAAGGTAAGTTATAAAAGCTAAGTAATATCTACATAGTATGTTGCAAAGTAAAGGGAGACTTATTAACCTAAAGGTGCCTCCTCATGTCTCTTTTATCTTTTTCTCATTTTAGCCTACCTAGACTCTCCAGTTATTGTGTTGGAGTTTGTCTGACGGATTCTGGCTATATGCTCAGTATTTGGTGTTGTTACATCTGAATTCCTTAAATTTCTGATTGTCTTGTGCTGAATGACCTGCAACTTCTCTTGCTTGTAAAGGCCTCAAGTGAGGCTTATTTTCTACAAAACTTCTAAACTCCTTGAACTTCTACAAAACTTTACACCCTCTCCTAAGAATAATAGATTACACACAGGGAAATTTTCAGATGGTGGAATTTAGAATAAGGATCTTAGTATTACCCATTTGCTATAAAATATGTGAACATCTTGAAGCATGATAATTATCACAGAAATTACATTTTAAACTGCCATATGATTTGCCCCTTTATCTTACCATGAACTATAATGTAAATTGTAATCCAGGCATGTGCTAATAAACTGTTATATTTTGCAAAGATTGGCTGCGCATTCCTTGAACCCTTTTGAAACATGGTGTGGCATACTTTTGACTCACTTTGAATGTAAATTAGGATTAAGAAAAGCAAAACTGATAAAACTTATATAAGCCTTTGTTTCAAAATCAGCATGCTCATTCCTTGTCTCCATCATTTTCACAATGCCTCTTAAGAGGCTCTCAACAGGTAAAATTAGGGGAGTTGGGTGTATGTAGCCTTACCTTTGTAGTAGCTCAACCAATTTATTAGTCGTTTTGATATATTTCGTTGTAGTCCAAATTCCAAAAGTCAAGAATATTAGCTTTTTGGGAAATGGACAGACTCCTTCCATAATTGCTGCAAAACTGTTAACCATCATTACCTCTACTTTGATCAGCCAGCAGCAGAAATTATTGGATTTAGAATGGGAGAACTAAGAGGTCTTTCAAGGTGGCGGGCACGCTATGGTGGCATTGGCCTGGATGAAAAACTTATAGATAATGCAACAGAAAAAGTAGGAATGTTGCTTGTACAAGTAGTGCGCTTTGTGCAGATTCTTTCGTCTGTTTCCCAGCAGGTATGCTTGCTAAAGGTCCTTTTTTTTGGCTTTTTCTTCAATAATTTTTTTGGCTAAGCTCTTTTGTACAGACAAGAATGTATAATTGTATGATTCAATTTTCACAATTGTTCATTAGCATGTTTCTTTAGAGTCACTCTTAGGCAACTCTTCACCTATCTAAGTTATTCTTCAACCCCAAATCTCAAACCTATTTTCTCCAACTAAAGCCAGAACTAAAACTTCATCACCTTCAGAAAATTCCTATGAAACCTATCATATCAAATAAAATTGTTATGATTTTTGAAGTTCTTTGCTGTTGATTTACAACGAGGAATAAGCTGAAGATAAATTCCTCTGAATCTACCCTCTCCTCCTAGACCCATAAGTATAAAAACTGTCACTCTGTCAGCTTGTTCAGAAGTCCCAACTGGCCCTATCAATCCCTCTCATCAAGTCTTTAAAGAGTGGTCAGCTTGATAAGAATTTATGTCACTTTCTCTTTTTCTTCATCCTGTTTTAATTCTTCTCCTTCAGTTCATAAATTTTTTCAGCTGGCTGTCAAGGTGTATAAAGATACTTATGTCAGAATCTAGTGATCAGCTTCCAGCATACAACAGGTATCTAGCTTTACTTTTTAAAAATGGTATTTGGAAAGTTGATTGGCCATGTGTCTCTCTTGTAGTTACGTTTCTTAGCTTGCACTTTGCAGCGAACTTGTAATAATGTTTTTGAAGTTTCTCTATGATCGGGATCCAGTAAAGCTGCTGCTGGACCAATCTATGGTTGATCATTATGTACAACTTGATTCGTAAGTCATCTAAGCACTGGAAAGTTAAATGCCTTTTTCAACCCTGTTGCTCTACTGTTTCTTTCTCTACCTTTTAGCAAACTCCTCCCACCCCCATCTCACTTTGATTGTTTGACAACCATGTTGGAAAAACATAAGATTCAAAGCAATTTTTTATGCTTTCTGGTTGCCTGAAGGAACAGATCGTATGTACTTCAGATTATTGGTCTCATATTGCTATTGCCTCAGGGATACAACACAGCGAGTTGAAGAACTTGTTAAATTAGGGGGGTTTGCTGATACTGAATGCCTGCACAGAACCTTAGCTAAAGAATTCCAGTATATGGAATCCAGGTATCTCTTTGTATCAATTAGTAACCTTATTTTTATTTAGAACATTATATGTACTCCCTTTTGTCTCTTTTTGTAAGCACTATTTATGTTTAGTGCTCCCTCCTTCTCATAATACAATGCCTCTTTGGGTTTTACGCGGGAATTAAGAAAGTTATAAATTCCTTAAAACTAATGATTAGAAATGCATGTGTATGTAAGGTTAGAAAAAGATTGAGAGAAGAAAAAATCGATAAAATTAATCCCAACTTTTGCCCATTCGCTCAAAAAGTCAAAATGATCCCAACTATGGATTATTTTTAAACAATCCAAATTTCAGGGGTAATTCGCTTTTAACGGACCCAACCGGTTACCCAACCTATTACAGCAGGTTAAGGGACACGTGTCACCAAGTGATTGGTTGAGAAATTTAGAAAAAAAAAACCTTTTTTAAGAAAATTAAAAAACCCCAGCCCCCATTATACGTCCGTACATCCGCAATCCCACCACCACCCTTGGTCGTTTCCGGAAGCCCCTGCTGCCATCCCCCGCCGCGGGCTGTGCAAGCCTTACCCAAATTGAAAAAACTCACTCTCTCTTTCCTCTGTAACAACAATGGCAACTACTACGTCACGCCATCATCAATCCTTTTTCTCATCTTCTTCCTTCGCTTTATCTTTTCCAACTTTTTCATCGCAATCCGAAATTCTCTTCCACTGATCATCTTCTCCTACGAGAATCAACATCTGCGACTCTTCTCCTCAAACGACGTCGTGATCGGTACGATTCTCAACCGATAGCCTACCGACGTCGCCGAATAGATCCTTGAATCGTGGTGCATTTAGGGAAGGGGGACTGGTTTCGGCGATAGGTGGTGAGGAGGGGATTGCGAGAGGTGGGAGTGGGGGTGGGGGCTGCGCTGCAGGCGGGTGGGGGGATGGCAGCGGGGCTGTGAAAACTGTGGCAGTGGGTGGTGATACGAGCGTGGGTGGGGGGCTGGGTTTTCTTTCCTTTTTTTTTGGTTTTTTTTATTATTTTTTCAACCTATTAAGTGTTGACACGTGTAACTGAAACAAAAAAAAAACAAAAAAAAAACCTCTTTTTCAAGTTACAGGTCACTTGGGACCAATAAAAATTAATGACCCCCAAAGTTCGGATTATTTAAAAATAATCTGTAGTTGGGATTATTTCGAGCCAATTGGCAAAAGTTGAGATTATTTTGAGCAATTTTTCCTAGAGAGAAAGAAAAAGTAGTTGGAAATAATTGAAGAGATAGAGATAAAGTGAGAAAAGGAAAAAAGATGACAACTCATTAAAAAGAGGGTAATAATGTCAAAAAGTACAACCTTTAAATCGAAAGAGGCATTGTATTTTGATTTACCAAAAAGAAAATAAGGCATTGTATTATGAGATGGAGGAGTACAATTTTTAAATATTTGGGTAGGCATATTTATTAAGAAAAATAGTGGGACCATATATGGTTTATGAGAGGGTAAAGTGGAGGGAGGAGTGGAGGACCAAATGATCATTAATGGGATAAGGCATACATTTAGGGACATACTAATATAGAAATTGGAGTATGCAAAAAGGGTTCGAGTATTTTTTTTATTGTCCGAGGAAAAAATTTCTCTTTAGTTTCTCATGCCTTGCCCTTTTTGTGTATCTGAAAAAAATATTCTCTGTGCTCTTTTTATTTTTACTCCCTCAGTCCCTTAATACAAAGTCTCTTTTGGTTTTTATGCGAGAATCAAGAAAGTTGTAAATTATGTAACACTAATGATTAAAAATACATGTTTGCGTGTGGGGTTAGAGAGATATATAGAGAAAAAAAAAAAGTAGTTGGGAATAATTGAAGAGATAGAGAGAAAGTATTGGAAATTGATGTTAAAATAATGTCAAAAAATACAACCTTTAAATAGAAAGAGGCATTGTATTTTGATTTACCCAAAAAGAAAATGAGGCTTTGTATTAGGGGACGGAAGGAGTATTATATAAAATATTTTTTGTTTATGTATCCAGTGTGTTGTTGGAAAATATTAAATTGAAAGATGTTACCAGTTGTGTAGTTGTCACCCGTAGATGTAGTTGCTGTGCTTAGAGGAGAATGTCCTCAGATCTGTTTGTTAACATCGCAAGAATTTCTTATTTTTGGATTTACTCCTTCCTTTATTTTAATGTAATGTCACACTTTCCAGTTTCAAGGAGGCGTTCAATATGCCCTATATAACCGTTTCAAAGGAGATAATATGTGAGCAGATGCTGCCTCTCTACTCTTTCCAATCTTCATCGCCATCCACCCATTGCAGTGTTCTGACATCAATATCATTTTATTGGGTAAATGCTCTGTTGTACATAATTTGTTACCAATGTTAGTTTTTTATATTCCAGACAAGCTTGCAACTAATATAATTTAGCAGCTTCTGGACTGCAAGTGAGTTCATCTCCAAATGTTCTCATAGACGCCTGCTGAGTTTTTTTTTATCCTGAATTGTTTGTGTGCTTTACCTGGTCAGTTATGGTTGTCTTGATTAAAGGCAATATGTCATTATGTCCCTAGAATTCGCACCCAAAGCTGAATAACATAGCATCAGTTTGTAAATTATGTCATTATAGGAAAGAATAACACAGCGAATGACTCTATAATAGGCCCCTGAAAGGGAAAAAAATTTATTAAAAGGCTGAATAATGTAGCTTCAGCTTGTAAGTTTGTTTCTGTTAAGCAAAGAATAGCTCATCAAATTGTCTTCACATAGATCTGTTGTGAATAGCTAACTGGTTAATAGGCATCTGTAACATAATACTTCTGAGAAATGCCTCTCTCCTTTTGCACAAGATATGATTGGAAATATCGCAGCTTACCCTGAATTGACAGATCTATTCATCTCTAGTTCCCTTTTTTTTTTAAAAGATTAAAATATACTGTGTATGGTTTGACTTGTTTGCTTAAAAGAAGATTAGAAATGTTATCCCTTATTTTCCTCGTTTGTCTCCCACTTAAACCTCCCTGTGAATTGGGATGCATGGAATCAAACCTATTTAGCACCCATATTCTCACTGGGCAACTTTTATGCCCCTATTAAATTGTTGCTAACTTGCTATGGAGTGCAATTATTTGCTGTGAATTGTAGAAGAGATTTGGAAAAAAAACAAACAAAAAAAAATAAAAATTTATCTGAGTCCAGTTCGTTATTAAAGAACAATGAACAGAGGAATGTAATAGATGCTGTATACCTAAGATTTATTTACGATTTGGCCACTTGATAAACGAATTTTGTTTATCAAGGTGATAAACTGGGGCTTCCTCCCAAGGTCAAATGTCAGGTCACAGTGCAAACTAGACATTCATTTTCTTTTAGTGTTCTCATGAACATGGGTACCTTGCAAACTTCAAGACTGACATACAATATCCTCTTAAGAGCATCATATGATAGCATCTATTCTGTGTTTTTTTTCCCCTTTTTTTATGCATTGCTTCATTTTAGGATGCTGCCCCTGAATTTTCAGCATGTGAAACCAGTCAAGAAAACCTTGTAGACTACATCACTTTCCAAATACCTGAGTGGTCCTCATCAGATGTTTCAAACTGTATATGCATATTACGGGGAGTTATGAATGAAGCAGGTAATATTAGGAACAAATATACTACAGTTGAAGCCTTGCTGTTGTCTGTGTCAAAGGATTTCAGTTGCATGGATTTATCCCTCTACAAGGTATTTCCATAATACACTTAAAAGCCTTTTTTAGCCCTTGTTTTCTACTTTGGCCAACTTGCTTCATGGAAAGACTTTTTTCCTGAATATTGAGACGGATATGTTTCTCTTTAATACAGGAACGTCAGTTAGTTTTGCTGTTGAATGAAACAACAGCCGCTTCTGACAGCAGTGGAAATGCTCAGCTCATGATGGTGCCAACAAACGATCTTCCATTTGTATCTATTTCAAGATCAACCAATCAAAATTTTTGGAATTTGGATCAGTTGCAGGTAGGTCTTTCACATGCTGAGTAGTGACTGCTATAGTGTTTTTATTTATTATTTCAATGTAAAATTATTTCTCCCTCTGAGTTTGTGATCAGAGGGAGTTAAGAGAAAATGATGTAGACAGGATTCAATCCTAGGTCTTGGGTACTATCAACCCCCAAGAATTTAACCGAGTTAGTTGGCATACACATAGTGACTGCTATAGTGCTATGCTGCTATTGTTATCAGATATCTTCTTCTTGATGACTCCATTTGTTCATTGCCCCAACCTGTAAAACGGTGTATCTGAACAAAGAAGATGGCCTGAACAAATGCCTAGATCTTCTAAACATTAAGAATTTCAATGAAGGATCCTGGCTCCAGTTCTGCGGCGTCTCATGATCCTTTTGTTTTGTCTTTTGGTTCATGAGGCAATGTAATCATGTTCTCCAATAAAGAAGCAATTGGATTAAAAGTGAAGTTGAACATTCAAAAATAAGAGGAATACCAATGGTAAATAAAAGTAAAATAGAATGCATTTTGCTGGATAACTAGCAATTAGTGTTGTATAGGTGAAAATTGTAGTTAGTGACGTATGGGTGATCCCTAGCAACTAGCAATTAGTGACGTATAAGTGATCCCTAGCAACTAGCAATTAGTGACGTATGAGTGATCCCTAGCAACTAGCAATTAGTGAAGTATGGGTGATCCCTGCTTGCATTTGATATGAAAATATCTTAATAGGAAGACTAGTGAAATATTTGTCTTCACTTGTAAGTGAAATAGACATTACTACTTTTTGCTACCAAGATGTACCCTGATTATTGTTTTTTCTGAATTCTTAAAACAGCTAGATCTTGTCTACTAAAAAAGTTGGAATGCTTTTGAAACTTTTTTGTGCTGAATTTTTTCTTACAGAAATTCTTCACAAATTGGGAGCTGTGGGTTGTGATTATGATGTGCATTTTGATCGGTTTAAGTTCTTGATTTTCTAATTAATGCACTTGTATAACTTTAGGATCTTACGTTGCCCTTGCAAATGGAGAGTGCAAAGGTTCGAAGCATACCTCACAATGTGGTTCCACCACTTGCAATTAGTTGTAAGTTATCTTTCTACCTCAAGATTTGCGCATATGGCACTTGATACTTGGATACAGTGATTTTAAACAATTTCTTTTAACAATGATGATGCTGATGAAAATACTTACAAGCATTTTACTTCAAAATTTGCAACAGCATCCAGAGGCGTGGGCTGTGTTTTTGCTGCTAGAAAGCGAGCCTTAGTTTACATTCTCGATGAAGATGAAGAAGAAGAAGAATCAGCCTCAGATATGGATTGAATTATTTGATCATCCAGCACTGTGTTTAGACTCCTCGTAGTTGAAGTTTGTTTTTACAACGTTCAACTATAGAGCATGGAAACTCTGATTAGGTGATCTGGTGGTCTAGACCTGCTTTCAGATGTAGCTGTAAGCCTCGTAGTTGAAGTTTGCTTTCACATCGTTCAACTATAGAGCATAGAAACTCTGATTAGGTGGTCTGGTGGTCTAGTCCTGCTTTCAGATGTAGGGTTTCCCAATCTCTTGTTTTTTATTTGTCATCCTTAACTATTGTTTCCTGTTTATAGTTTTGGCCAAACTACCCAAGATAATTCTCTGTAAACGTAGAAGGTGAATACTACTATTTTCAGTTACTGAATTATATAGAAAAAATTAAATTTATCAAAGATCTAAGCAATTTACATAAACAGATGAAAATATGCTAATTGACTTGAATTCTTATGACAGAAACGGGTAGTATATTATGGAATGTAGATTGTTTAATTGTATCAATGCAAAGATGAAAACTTAAACTATACACTACTTGAAAGACAACCACCGAAGCCTTAAAAAGCAGCAAGTATTCAAGCAAGTGATCAAACAGAAATTCAAAAACAAATGAAAAATTCATTCAAGCATGAAATTCAATCTGGTTGGTAATCAAGCCAACTACCACTGACAGTTATTGCTGCGTTAAATAATAAATACAACGGATTTTTGTTATGTTAGACCTCATCTAACAAGTCATGATACAAACTACAAGTACACAAGGAAAAAAATTGAAGATATAACAGGCCTCTTATTTTAAAGACCTTAATGGAGGTATGTCCATGGAGATATCCAGGGACAAACCTCTAACCCTCCCATTATCGCATATTATCTTTAACATAAGTATCTTGTGCAACAGCATCTCGACTGAGCTTGATGCCCTTTTATCATCAAGGATCCATAACCAAGCAAGCCAAGAAAGCAGGCATCATCCCACTATAAAATTCAAACAAAGTTTTGAAACTTTGCCTGTGATGAGCATTTGTAGGACATAAGCAAAGTGGGATGAACCGGGAAGCTATTGGTAAATAAAGCAGGGTAATCTTAGTAGGGGTTCACATCTATGTATCATCCAACTCGACAAGTTGAGCTCGTCTCTCAGCAGCCTTCTTCCTAACAAAGATTCCCCATCGAAGGGCCGCTTTAAGCTTGAGCCATCCCACAACTGCTTTCCCAGAAGAGCGGCCTCTATCCTCATCAAAATTGAAGTTGATTGCTGGTGATGGTGCATAACCTGCCGGATATGGGTATGCTTCTTCAGCAACGACAGGAGTTTGAGCTTGATGACTACCACCCATCCCAAAGAGGCGAAGCAAATGTTGCATGTCTTCGTGTTCAAGCATCTGATTGCTTCTCATGCGGATTTCATCCTCTGATAGTAAGTTCTCACTTCCTCGGTAATCAGCATAGTTGGTGGTTCCAACAGGCTGCATTCCAGAGAAAGAGGGTTGTGCTGATCCAAGAGAAAAAGCATTATTGTTTCTAAGTTGGCTTAGACCCGAAGAGCCCATAAATTGATTTGGAGGCAAAAATGAGGGGGCATCAAACTGTGCAGATCCATTAAGGTTCATTGTTTGTGACTGTGCAGAATATCTTGTCCCCATTGTATCATGTAAACCTGAAACATAAATACAAGCTTGTATTAGTAATGCTATATTTGTTGTTTATATGGTAGTTTTATCGTTTGCTTTGTGAAAAATCCTTTGTAGCAGTGAAAAGGTGAAAAATAAAGATGCTTTTTAAAAATGCCAAGAATTTTACCTCCCATCTTGAGATTAGGATCCACAGAAGGCTGCTCCACAGGAGCAACAGGTAAACTGGGTAGCGAGAGTTGATGGTTGTAGAAATTGGGGTTTGGTTGGGAAACTGATGCTTCAGTCCTCGAAGAATCTTCAATAGTGCTCTGCTTTAAGCTCAAGAGAGACTTGCCATCATATTCCACAACATGCATCCAGTTCTCATATGCTTTCTTTATTAAGGAATCTGCATAGACCTGCCAACATAATAGATATTCAGCCAACATATTAAACACATACCTAACCATGCTTAACATGGTTAAGGTTTGCAAAAATCATTCTTCTTCATTCAACCTTGTAAGGTCAATTTCAAGCTGCATATGTTGCATTTATGGTCCAATTCCACAAGTCTTACTCAATTAGGTGATCAATCAATATGCCCGTTTGGATGCAAATATTTAGGCATACATTTTTAAAATTGAAAGCAACATTATCACAAATGGTGAAATGGTAACAGCGAGTGTAAGGATTTTTTTTTTTATTTGAAAAAAGATAGGGGATTTGTTTCAGAGGAATATTCACCTTCTGAGTGTCCGAAAGCGAGTCAGTTGAGTAGTACTGACCACCAGCAAATAAGCCAATAAACTCATAAATGCTGTTGAAGATTACACCAACTCCTTGTGGACCATCGGGATAGTAGATAAAAACCTTGCCACTAAGTACACACGTCTTTGCGTGCTCCACAAGTGCATCCCACATCTTGTTTGACATGCCACTCCCTAGTATCTACAAAGATTTCAGTTATGTTAGTCAAATTCCTAAGATTGGATAGTCATCAAATAGCAAAAATATAACATTCTTACATTTCGCAGTCTCTGTGGATCTCTGACAACGAACCGCAAGAAATCTTCAACACTAACTATACCAGCTTTATTCAATCTCTTGTGAAAAGCCCCATCTTTCCCAATCTTCTCTAATCTCCAGACTTCATCATTTAGTGCAGGAGGATAGTGTTTTTTGTACACTAGATAAGACAAACACCACAAAAGCGAATTTATTAGATGCAAGGTCAGAGAAGAGGGAGGAAACCTAAGCTGGAAAAAAAGGAAACACAGGAACACATAGATTAGAGAAAGTCAACTCACATTCCCCTCTATGATCCTTGACAGTGAAAGCTTCTGTCTTTGCTTCACGGATACGAACAACTTCATCATTACCAGTGGCAACCTTCAGACCTAATCTGAACTGTCTGCTTCTTATCCAGCTTGAATTATCAGTGAATGTCAGTTCTCCAAGGGTTCCTACACCTTCTTTCAGTGTCACTTGCACATCTCCAGTTAAAAGGGGCCTCTTTCCTTCACGCTCTTTCACCAAATGACTTTCAAAATCTTCTTGGGTCCAATCAGCATCATCTTCATCATTGAAATCACCTTCAAGCACAACAATATCCAGTTTCGCAGATGATTCTGGACCCGTTGTGACAAGTTGCCCACTATTTGCATCAATTAACACAATGTGGATTGCAGCTCCTTGCTCGCCTTCTACTTTTCCTCCAGTAAAAAGGGGTAGAGAAAGCCTACTTCTAAAATGAAGCTGCAAGTTTCTTCCATCAGGTGCCTCTATCCGCTTGGGAGAAGTCCTACAAAATTGAACAAAGTTCAGCCTTACAGTTCTTTCAAATTATTATTAGGCTACAGCTTTGGTTAGAATTTAAGCTTTTTAAATTTATAAATAATTTGAACTGTGAAACCTTTTAGTTATATTTAGGTGGTATGCAAGAACTTAAGCAAAGCTAAGTAAATTCTCTCAAACATCAATTAGTTGAGTTTTACCTTCCATTTCCAACAAGCCTTGCTGGCCCCAACTTTGCCAAAGCACGTTCAACTTCTTCACTAACCTGTTCATTGTTCATACAGACCGACTATAAGAGAAGCACAAAGCAGCATGTGTCATAAAGTAGATACTTACAGTACACAAGTAGGTAGTTTCTAGTAATTAGTGAGGCCAAGAAGTATAAACTACCCCCTTCCCCCGAAAAATTAGAATGTCAAATTAAAAATGGTTTGCTTCTAGTATAAGAAAGTGTTAAAAACCAATTAAGAACAGTATTTTGATTTCAAAATTAATCATCCAAACTTATCCCTTATTAGGAAGCAAAGAATCATACATAAGTTTGATTATCTTACAACTCTCCGAAGAATGGGTTCCAAGGATGAGCAGAGCCTCTGCAAACTATCCACCTTCAAGGCTTCCACAATCACACTGCAGTAGAGTAAAACAATACTTAATACTGAAAAATGTAAGCTCGAGAAACACACGAATCTTGAAGCAAAAACTCAAAGTTAATCCCAAATCCCTATTTTACAAAAACTGTAAACTAATGCATATTTTTTTGTTATTGTTTCCACTAAGCAGTAAACTAATACACAACTTCTCTACTCAAACTAAAGCATAACTCTAATAGAATTAGAGTACTTAAGCTTTGTCTCGGACTTTGCCTACATTTTGATTTCGTTCGGGAAATTTCAAGTCATATGGTATATAAAGTAAGTTGTACTCCGTAAATTGAATTTAAAATTTATCATATTTATGGTAAACATGTTTAGTATGAAATGTTACAACTAAAGACTAGAAACCACTTTTTTCTAGTTTCCATAAACTAAAACAACAATAAACAAGCCCTTTGTTGATTATATAATTTCATTTCCTATTTTGAAACTTCCAAATCTTCATCATGTTAAATTAAATAATTAAATTTTATTTTTTTTCTATCAAGAATTACTGAACTAAGATAAGAAAGGAACTTCACAACTTCATTATAGTGACCACTTTATTACCCAATACAACTCTTTAAGAAAATTAAAACTACAAGAAATAGCTCAATACTATTGAAGATTCAATTTTTAATATTATAAAATAAAATTGACAAAATCAACCAAACAACCAGAAAAATTCATCCAAAACCCAGAAAAAATCAACCATCAAACATCAAAACCCATCAATTCAAACAAAACCAAATCCACCAAATTACAGTGTAAGAGTAAAGATTAAGAGAAAAAAGAAAGAACCTAGCTAAAGCAGGTCTTTTGCGATCAGGTTGACCATCTTCATCAGCAGCAGTTGAGTTTGAATCCAAAGCTCTTTTCTCTCTCCCACCATTACCACCACCTCCACCACCCATACTATTCGATCTTTCCATATATCTTGTCTGCATTTTTTTTTTCTTTTTTTGTCACTTCCCTTTATAAATCAAAAATGGATCTGAACAAACAATAAAACAAAATAAAATAAAAATCCCAGATGCAAAATCTCTTATCTCATCCTAAACAAATACCCAAATCCTCGATTCGAGTTATTATTAATATTATTAAAACTCAATGGAAAAACATGCTATCGGCCGACTAGCCAATAGACACTAGTATAACTAAAGAGAGAGTTAAAAAGAGAGCGGGAAAAAAAAAAGTTGGAACCTTTATTATTGGATTGGATTTATTGGTGTTTTGGAAATAAGGGTAGAACATTCAACGAAAGGTCTGGGAATTTTCCTTCAAAACTGACGGCTTTTGCATCAATCAATAAAAAGATGAAAAGAAAAACGCGGTTTTTTTAAATGATTTTGTTTTTGTGAGATTTTGTGAATTGAGAGATGTTATGAATGAGCTTATAGCTTATTGGAGGGGGGTCCTTGACTCTTTGAGAAGTCACTTTCATTATTATATGATATGGATTGCCTAAACTAACCTTATAGAAAATACCAAGATTGGGGTGTATCATAAAATGTTTGTATACCATGTGTGAATCATTCAAGAATAAGATATAGGACAATTGGGGTTCTATTTTGGTGTCGAATAATTCATATTCATTCCAATATTATGTATAATTTATTAATAGAAAGTTGGTAATTTAGTGTGCATACCAAAAAAAAAATAATAAGTAAGTATATATCTTTATTACTAAGGTATATTGTTATACTTGAAACTCTTATGGAAAAAACAATACAAAAGTCATAAAATATCATAATTAAGAATATATATTTTTTTTTCACTTATTTCATGTCTAATAAGAATATTCTAATAAGGTTCAATAATATTTATGATAAGGATTGATAATTTTAAAGGAATAAGATAATAATTAATAAATTAAGATAAAAAGGCAAAATGAGATAAGTGAAATTCTATTGATATGCATTTCACAACATATTGACTTGGGCTTATAAAACTTATTTTAAGTAATGTTATCTTCACCTAAATTTCATTAATCTAATATGTATCTTCCTTTAGTAAATATTCATTACACCGGGTTGTGTTGTGTCATGACTGTTGTGTTGTGTCATGACGTGCTTGTGTGCCTAACTTAAATCTCGCTTATCATACTACACTTGATTTTGTCAAGCCGTGTTTTTTTCGAGCAGTAATATTCTACCAAAAATATAGTTTAAACCTATTTTGTACTGTGTTGTCTCGTGCTAGCTTATCCATGCATTTGTCTTGTCGTGATTTTCGTGACGGGTCATGTTGTACACCACTTGACAAATTATCATCTCAATCTTCTTGTTCAAGGTCCGGGTTTGACTTTATACTAAAATCACACAATATGAAGAAGATGGCATATTCTAATCTATCTTTCATATATTTTTTCGTATCTTACATACAATAACCGATATTGTAATGCCTACATGCCATTTAGTTTGAAAGGAAGAATTTGATCGAGTAAGTCAAATTTTAAGCTAGAAGGTATTAAAACCCTAATTTTTCACTAATTTGTATATACCGGCCTTATTGACCTATGCAAGTGTTGGTTTTTTTTTTTTTTTTTTTTTTTTTTTTGGGCAATACTGGTCACAATCAACTCTAATTTAAACTAATATATGATGTGTTAACTATTATGTAACTAAATAGCAAATTAGTACACAATACATCAATTAATATCATTATATTTACCCATTGCTTAATCTTTATTTGAACTTTCAATAGTTGTACTTGGTAATTAGTACAAGTAAAGTTAAGTTGGTTGTGAATTCAATATTTCAATTGTATCTAGTCTCAAATTATCAGCTTATCAAAAATGATTCAAAGAGTAAATTGAGTAAAACTTTGAACATCCAATTTAATTTGTTTTTTTAGCTATAAAATATAAGAAAAATTAGGAGTCCAAAAAAGGATAAATTGCTTTTTGCTGACTCAGAGGCGTTGGTTTTATTGTGGGGCGGCGCTTAAATGAAGATCTTCATACAAATTAACAGGTTTACAGATAGTTGTATTAATTACATCAGAGCCGTTGATTTCATCTGACAAATTACACCCTGATTTTTAGGATTATGCACGTGTATTTTATTACTGTAAGTACTTAATTAAAGAATTTTGGAATTTTAATCAAGTGTGATAGTGACTAGGGGATGTTATTGCGGGGTTACCTTTTACTATCGTCTGATTTAATTAATTATTTTGTCGGTTTGATTTGAATATTTTCTGTCTTTTTATTATTCAAATTGAATTTAAATTGAAAAAAGTACACGAACTGTTGATCAATTGTGTGTTTTTATAATGTTAAAAATGGTTAATCTTGTGGAATAATTCTTTACATTATTAGATTATTTTTTATAGTACTTATAATTATGGTGTTATTGGCCTCATGAAGACCTCCTATTGTGGTGGCAAATAATTGAATATTGAATTGTTTGTAACACATTGGAGCACATGACACTCATAGCTACATAATTATAGGGTTCGGTTCGAAATTGATTAATTAATTATTATTTCATCAGTGTTAAATTAGTTTACGATATTCTTCATATTCAAAGGCACGTTGTTGTACTAAATCTATACCATGTATTTCTTAAAATTAGGTGTGGTGATCGTAGTACAGATAACTATATAGAAAGGAATGCGTTAAAATTATATTTATTACTTTATAGGGCTTGTTATCATTCTTAGATGCACACTTAATAGCTATTGCCGACTTTGAAAAGAGATCAAGGTGTAAATATGTAAGACAAACTTTTATAAAATGAGTATATTCCGATTGCCTTAATTGACAACTCTTTTCTTGCTATAAGTTATGTTGAGCCGAACTCTAACATGGCATAATTTAACCAAACTCAACTAACCTTCTCAAATTAATATACCAGTTTTAGCTTGGCTTGATTGAAATATATTGAATTTGAATTCGTACTCACCTTAATGCACAATGATCATGCAATACACAAAAGAAAGAACTACTGTTGTTCAATTGTTACTTAGCTTATGGTAGTGTTCGATTTGGACAAGTTGTGGTAAGAATCACTCAATTATTCTAGCCTTGGATTATGTGGAAGCTTGGGACTATGGATGGACTCATGGACAACAATGTATACAATATACAGTGTAAAAATCTCACAAAATCAAAATTTGAAATATAAAGTATAAAATTATTGCGAGTTCAACAGTGGCAAGTTAAATCAAATTAGATAAAAAGTACGGAGTACTTGTAATTCATAATTCCTCTGTTGCTTTAAAAAGAAATTTTATAAATATTGCTCCATATTCATTTTAAGAAAACAGATACATAATATCTATATTCACGGTCTTCACACTGCAAATATCTAATATACCCTTACTTTTTATTTGTAGCCACTACAGTAGCCACCCCAAAAGCAAGTTGAGATTTTACTTAAGATTAGAAATTGATTGGTAGGAAAAATACTAAAATCAAGGCCCCAAATCTAAAATTAGCCTAGCCAATCACCAAAAATGCACCAAATCAAACTTAACTAATATATATATATATATATATATATATATATATATATATATATATATATATATATATATATATTAATAGAATTTATAATTAGGATAGTATTCTCTCAAGACTATACCCTAACTTATCAGAAAAAATAAAAATATACTATTTATGAACGGATTGATATCTTGGTGAGCTTGCATAAAATAGCCCAAAAAAGCAACATATTTTGTTACTCTATTACCCTCTCTATTACCAAATCAAACTTAACTAATTATAATAATATAATCTTAATATGTGATAAATAGAAAGGGTTAGTTGGGTTAGTTAAAGCATTAGTCAAGTCAAGGTAAGTCAATCCTTAATTGCTTCAAAGTTACAAACTAACAAATGCTCACTACAAGTCATTGTGATTTGCAGCCACCCCATTCAATAAATAAAAATAAAATTAATTTATAATGAAAATTAAATGCCAAAAACATAAGAAAAAACAGTTGGTGTAAAGATGCCGAAGCATTAATTGAAGAAAATGGGATTGACAGATGCAGATTCAAAGTATAGGGTCTCTCATGCATTTGTTTGGCATGTGGATTTAGCTTGGCTTTAGTATACAATTGCGTTCTTATCACCCCTTTTCTTTTGGTAAACCATGTTACCATTATTTGTACACAATCTCCGGAACGATTAAATTTTTTTCCCTCCAAAACACTTTATGAAACTTTAATATTAAAGCGGCAAAAAAAAATAATACTATTATAATCGGTGTTTGAACAATATGGTGTAAACAAAAAATTTACCGCAGCATATCATAGGGCGTGCTAGAGAGATATGTTTTTTCTTCCCTAAAAGCGTAACCATTATCAAGAAACGAGGTTGATAGACCCTTTATATTTCACCCGTGTGGACAGTGGTACGAGTTAAACTCTCACAAATGGGGTGGGAGATTTAATCACTCTAATGGGTAAGGTTGCAAGTTGGAACTTTTAGTATTGCCTTTTGAGAAAGGGTGACCCAATAAGATTTTGTGTATCTTACTACCAGCAACCAGGTTAATAATTAAGATTCAAATGTATACACAACTCTAGAGGTCTCACAAATTACAAAATATATGGTAAATTTACATGTACGTTTACTGGTGTGAGGAAATAGTAATAGCATCAGTTCAATTTCTGCTTGTGTAGTTGTGTTAGTGTTGATTATGTTTCACTTGTCTCCTAATTCCTGTGCTTAGTTTCTACATTGAGCCTGCAAACTCAGATCAGGCAAACACCAGTCCCCTCAGAAGATTGACAAACCGGCACCCCATCGTTGTCACCAGGGCATTGGCAAGACAATCATGCACAATGGTCGCAAAAAAGGATTGTCCAAAGCATCAAAATTCTTTCAGAACCACTTTGTATGAAGCAAATTGTTTATCACTACACGTCTACACATACTTTGTCCAGTACCCCCAAAACTCCAGTACATTTTGCTAGCATAACTATCAAGAAAATGTAAGCCTTCAATAAATACATGTTAAGTTACAAAATGGGTGTTACAAGCTAACGCCTTTTTTTACCATTTATCTTCCCTTTCCTCCTCTCCCTTTTGCTGACTAGCTTTGTCCGGGATCTACCCTTGGTGGATTTTTTAAAGGCCTTCTTCTTGCTTACAGGAATATTTTGCTTTTTTACAGCTTCTCCAGTAGACCCTGGTAGCGGTAATAATGGCGCTGACTTTTCAGTAGGACTCTCTTCAAGTCCGATTTCACTTGTAGTAACTGTGACCATTATATCACCATTTTCATATGACGTTGTCCCTTCAACTAAAGAAGAAAGTGCAAAAAAAAGTGTCAAAATCTAGTCGTGTAAAGCAGTCACTCAAATAACTTAGAAAATATAAGATGATTTAATATATCCCCAACATTCCCCAATCTGAGGCATCTGCTTTTGCTAAAGGGGCATATATCTCACATGCATCCCAACAATGTCAAAACACAAAATCCCAACAAGAGTATCCTAGGAGAATTTTAACGAAATATTTTCAGCTGAAAGGATATATAGCCTATTTTTAGATAAGAATCTTGTCACTATCAACTTTGGCATCTGAAACTTTAGCAAAAGTTATTTTTCGAGTCCCTAACTATAATAAATATCGAAGTTTGGCTAACTGAAGTGTGCAAAATACGTACGGAGTAACATATCTTTCAAGTTCCATTGACTGGTTTACTATAAGCACTTCAGCAGTCAGATCTCAGTATTCTTTGCTGACTTCACAAACCACGGTTAGATGTGGGACTACTCTGTTTACTAGTAACAGAAGAAACTCTTAGACTATGGGAGAAAGCTACTTCCCTCGAGTCGAAGTAATAGAATACCTTCTCCCTTTATTCCTTAAAGCAGTACATATGTTAGTAACCCAACTCCCTCCTCCACTCTCGAATTCATTGATTTTAATATCTTATGTATTAGTTAGATTTGAATTTCTTTTGTAGATGTTGTATGACTTTTTATTAATGCACAGATTTTACTACTACGTATTAAAAATATGGTTCAGTATTTCGGAACCCATTGCAAAAAGCTCAGTTTTAATGATATTCAAACTGAAAATTGTCACTTTATATTAACTTACCTAAATCATACTGTATTAGTTCATAAAACCCCAAGTAGAATGACGCAGCTTTGATGATACTCAAACCAAAAAACTGTCATTTACTATGTTACCTAACTCATACTCCACTTTTTTTTTTTTTTTTTTTTTTTTTTTTTTTTTTTTTTTGGAAAGAAATACTCTTTAGTTTACAAACAATTTATGATAGCACTAGATAATTCTTGAGCCATGCTCAATTTTTTAAATTATTGATGATTGAAACATAGAAGTTTCTAGATAAATATAACACAATGGTCAAATAATAATAATAGTCTTCAAAAAAAAAAAATATATATATATATATATATATAACAAATAATAAAAATAATAATAATAAATAAATAAATACTACTACAATGAATTTTTAAGGCAAATTAATGCTTCTATAAAAATTAAATAAATAAATAAAGTAGAGTTTAGGAGGGAAAATTCCCTCCAAAAAAAACTCTTAAGAGTAATAGATTTTCTGATGTTATCATTAAAACAGTCTTTTAAGTGTAAAATTCCTGTAATTATGTGATGGTGAATTATTAGTAAGCAATGTCAATCCATCTAAAAGAGATATATTGGACCACAAGCCCACAATCAATCAGCTAACCAATTAAAGTCAAAAAACTAAAGGTGCATGGCATAAGTTACGAAGTATTTCTTTAAAACCATATACAAATATAGAAATGCTGTATAACCATGATGTATAGGCTCAATGCATGAATAAAATCAAAGATAGTGAGACAATACCAGAAGCCAATGGGTTCAGCTCAATCTCATCGTTTTGCTCCTGATCTTCATCAACAGGTTTAGCACCATCTTCAGGTGGGGCGCCACCATACAGCACATATTCCTTTTCCTTTCTCCTCTGTAACAAAGAGGAAACCAAAATTAAAACACCTACAATAAAAGGCCAGTCAACTGATGTTTAGAAAACAAAAACCAACTCTTATAGGAATAATTTCAAGCAAGGAGCTGAATCCAGTAGAAAAACTGATGGTAATTGACTAATTGTATACCATACCATATACTAACTGGATCTAATTTGTTCATATTATAGGACAGGAAACACTATTACATCAAGGCCCGTTTTGCAAGCGAAGATATACTTGTATATCAATCAATCAAAGCCTTAATCCCATAAGTGGGGTCAGCTACATGAACATATACTTGTACAATGAAGAAAAATGTAACTTCATAGAACATGTTCCAAGTAATAAAAGGAAAACAAATACTATCGATTACTTCTACAATGCCTATTATATCACCTAAAGGATTAGAATATGGCCTAAGGAGTAAGGACCTAGATCCAACACCCACCAACATATAATTAAATTTTTGTGCTCTATGATGGAGAACAAAATTTGCATTACAAGTTTCTTAAATGTGGTAAATACCAGCATGTAACCCCAATAACCCCAACAGTGATGAGTGAACTACACATGGCCCTAAAGCCCCTGATACCTCTACTCAACAAAAGTGTCTAAGAACATGCTAATGATATTCAATAATTTTCCATCAGCATTAGCAGTTTCACATGCTCTAATTCTACCAATGTAAGAATATGTATACAGGTTAGAATAAGGAAGTTTCCACCAAAGAATAGATTTAAAGATATGACTTGAGTCGTACGATAAAAGATAACCTTTTCATTGTATACATATGTGACACCACCAAAAACCTGCAGTTGGAGCAGGATTATGTAGATATCGTAACTGAAAGTATGGTGCAACAACGCATTTAGATTGTGGCACCTCTTAACATCTAGACTCACAAGGATCTTCATACAAGACATAAAAGTAATCTAAAGCAAGAGAATATATGCTATTCTAAAACACGTCCAACTTTCTATTGGAAAAGTGAAGGATGCTTTCCCTATAATTTGTTCACATTTTTCATGATTAAGTGAAATACAAAGCAACAGGAACAAACAAAGAAATCATAAGAAAATTTTCTGATATCTCTGATTGCTTTAATACGCCCAATTCCATCTCCAACAGATTCAAACATAAACTCTTTTAACAGTGTAAATAAGCAAATTTCTAGCTTACAACATAAGAATAAAACTACACAGTACAGATCTGAGATTCTGAGAACTTGAGAAGGGATTATACAAATGACACAAAAGGTAGATGATGCAATTCTTAAGAGAAACAACCAAAAAAATTGATTGGTTGTAACTGTTAAAACACTCCCATGGGACTCAAGCAAGTAGGTCAAAGGTAAAAAAGCTGTCTACTGAATCCAACTCAGTAATGCACTAATGCTATAATATGATTAAAAATTAAGCTCACAATATTAATGTTTACCATACAATTGAGTGACAGACTAAAAAGATACGACGATAATCATTAGAGCTTCACATAGATTTGATGAAACTGATTCTAAAGCTGCTGATGCAAAGAAATGTTGTTTACTGCATTGCCAAGGAGATCCAGTTTAATCTATATTGGTCCATTGGAGGGGAAAGGTGGCTGCAGCCGTAAATCCAGCAAAATGAAGCAATGTGATAAATTATTATAGTAGAAGAGAGGAAACGGTGGTACATATACTAGTAAATGATTCTTTGAGAAAATTATCTAGGTTCTCTTACTTATATCCTTAAAGCATCTCCAATGGTTGCTAATAGAGACTTACTTGCAACTACCTAGTATTCCCAAGCTGGTTGCCAACCATTCAAATAAAAAATGGGTGATGGCTTGCCCAAGCAAATTTGCTTTGACAGTATCTACAGAGAAGGGGGAGTGGAATCAGAAAAAATGATAGCTAACCATTGGATCACATTGTAGCTACAAAGAAAGTAGCTTGAAAGACCAGTGTGGCATGACAGGCTATAACATACACTTGACTAACCAGCCATTGGAGTAGTTCTAGACTCCTTAAGGTTATTTCTTTTCTTTCTTTTCCTCAAGATCAGCTAGGATGCTAGATGTCTTCTACTATCTCATAACCAAAACAAAGATCTTGGTAAAGACTAGCTGAGATCATCCATCAACATTTCAAACTCACGTAGCATATACTCAAACAAGAAACTTTTAACTTTCAGCCTAAATCCTAGGTGTTGTACTGAACTAATCCCTTGTGTAAGCCTTTTGTTCTAGAAACCTTCATCACCCTTTTAGTCAGAATTATTTAATGTCATTTTGTTTCCCTTTCTAATTCAATTCCATCTATCTTTTCCCATCCTCACCCCTAAATAATAATCGTGAAGCCTTTGTAGCAGATCTTACAATAAACAAAATCAACAGGGTAGTTATCTTTATATTGACCACAAATCTCAACAAATCCATGGCAAAGTTAACCTTCCACCATTCTGTTTCAGAATCTCAAAAGGCATGATAAATAGAAAAGGAGCAGTAAGTATAAACCAAGTCATATAAATATCGGTTATAAATTTATAATGGCATTAGACAGAATGACATATCTACCTTTTTACGATCTTCAAGGCGCTTGCGCCTTTCAGCTTCTCCTTGCTGCTTCAGAGCTTCCTTTCTCCTCTTCTTCTTTCGTTTGTGGAACCCACCCACATAATCCCTGTTCCAATCAAAACCATAATTACTTCCTACCACTTCTCAACAACTTCTTCATTCATTAATTCAGTTAATTACTTAAGATCAGCTTATTGACTATAATATAGCCAAAAGCAAGGGTATTAATAGATAACCAAAGCCAAAAAAAATCAGACTAAAAAGCAGGTAACCGTATCAGGTAAATTAACAAAATCAGTCCAGTAAGCAGACAAAAAAATAGAGGCTAAACAGTTTGGTTAATGTACAACTTTTTACAAAACGGTTGACTGAAATACCAATATAACTTTTTTAAATCAACTGCGGCTAAGTGCTTCACCCTCTTAGCTTTCCATCTGCAACTCTAGGCTCTTAATACCTCAAAGATAATAATTTGATGAATTAAAAAAGGTAAGTCACACTATTCTTTTCTTTCAAATAATTATCTTAAAAAAATTTATCAACCTGGGCAAATTTCCCCTTAACTTGAACAGGTTTGAAGTAATTTTTTTTTTTTTTTTTTTTTTTTTGGAAGGGAAGGTAAACAACTGAATATATTGAGATGCACAGGTTCTTCAATCTTAACTATCCAAATCAGAACATTTATACATCATCATAAAGAAAAATGATGTAGCCAACAAATTTTCTCACTTCTCCATTTCCAAGGGTTTAACCGTTTAATTGAGTATATGGAAACCAAAGAGAATGAAACTTTGGCATGACATGATTACTGTTAAATCAAAGTTATGCTTGTGATACCAAATTGCCAAAGAAAAATTCATTAACTGAACAGAGAGATGGAGAATTACGTTACATGCAGGCTAAGCCATAAGTTAGGTGATTGAAACAGATAAACACCTTATGCAACAATATAATTTACTTAAGCTAGAAGGATGTATACCAAAGTGGCTAGCGAATTAACAGCACTTCTGTACAAGGTATACACAGTGTATGTTAATTTCATGGTCACATTAGAAAGAATTAAAGAATAGAATGAAGAAATGCACCCCATAAGATAGGAATTGGAATACATGTGAACTCTTTTTATAAAAATTTAATATATATATATATATATATATATATATATAAAAAGAGTAGCAAGACATTAAATTTAAATGCTTCATGCATCATGCTAGGAGTGCTAATCTTGTAGCAAGAATGAATTGCTACCAGCTTAAACACAACTCTAATTAAAGATCCAAGCTTGATCCAATGAAATTATTAGACAAACAAGCTGAGATACAATAGCAAAGTACTTCTACTTCTCATCGATATCACCATTCCTATATTCAATCAATCAATCAAAGCCTTAATCCCATAAGTGGGGTTGGCTACATTAACCAAATTGGATTATTCCATGTAGTCATCATTCCCATATTATCTTTTACAAATCTTCAACTCCCTTTCATGTCAAGTTTATACCTTTTTACAATATTATCATTCTTTGATGATGCTTCGTAGTAATTTGTAATGTCTCTCACTTCATTTGTTCAGTTGTTTGTCATTTGCCACTAGCAATCTAGCATTACTTATTAGTGTTGTTACTACAATTGCTTCTAAAGTTCCAACCTTATCCTAATTCCACTAATTTTCTTCAAATGATACAATTTTCATCAATAATCTACCACTACGAATTTTAAGCTACAAATCATTGTATTTTTAAAGCTAAATTAAAACCCTTTCAGTGTTAATACAAATTCAAGAAACTATATCAACATTAGTCTCAAATTTCTCCCCTAATCAACAAAATTCCTAAAATACCCAAATCCTATCTCATCAACCCACACCAAATTACTTTAACAAATAAGCTTAGTGCCATTTTAGGCATAATCTATGCTTCTAATAATAGAAGAAAAAAATCTTCAAAACCCAAAAATCACCATAAAATCACAAAAATGTACACATAACAACCTTTAATTCATCCAAAGTAAATTAAAAACAAAATTGAAAATTGGGTATTTGTTTTTTGGGAGATGGGGTTTAATACCTTAAGTCTTTTTCATTGAAAGTGACAGCGAGAGATTTATTACGAAGAGCTCTCTTGCTGATATGCACACTGTTCATCGGCGGCTTCCCGACAATCGCGCCATCCGCCTCCGTCTTCATTGCCACCACCAAGAAGACTCACTGCAAGAGAGACTAAAGGAAGTACTCCAATTGTTTTTGTGTCTTTTTGTTCTGAGCTTTGGCTTTCTCTCTAGCCCTAATTTTTTTTAGCCCAATTCTCAATTTGGCCTTAATTCCTTGTTATAGAACGAGTATTTGTTTTATGTTTTTTTTTTTTGGGAGGGGATAGTCGGATAGGTTTAGAGAAAACACATTACTCTGTATTAGATTGGACTCTCTTACTGCCTTATCGAACAATCTAACCTATTATCGTACGAGTGTGCAAATAAGATCATTTAGGAGTGGGGAAAAGGGTAAGGCCGTTTGGGAAACCCCTACCTCTAATTACCGCGGGGATTAATGATTAATCTCACCATTAGACCAAGTATAATTTGGTGGATTTTTTTTTTTTTTTAACTCCCTCTACTTTATAATCGCAATAAACTAGCCTTTGCACACCGTTCAACCAAAAAAAAAAAAGAATTAGAACACCCAATTACCCAATGTACATAATTCAGCCCAAATTTACATAATTTCCTCTTTCCCTCTCACTCAACCTACTCATGAGTTAAGTATCTTGTGTTTACTTATTTAAAATGTCCCTTCTTTAAAAAACTACCAATGATAAAGAGACATTGTGAATATATACTTTTTAAAGTAAATTACAAGCCATTTTATCCACATTTAGTAAGATTGGAACCTCCTTGATGATCCAAGATAGAAAATTTATCAAGGGAACCAATATTTTATTGGTATGACTGTATGAGTTGATTTTTTAACATGTCAAACTAGCAACTCCCATCAATGACATACAATATACCAATTGTTTTATACTCTGTATTTTTATTGTATATCTCAAGAGAAGTCGTTATATATTTTTGAAAGATTTTAAGGAAAATTTGCAAATTGCAGCCATTTAAATTTCGTATTTTGCAAATTGCAGCCATTTAATTTTTTTTTTGCGAATTGCAGCACAAAAGTTCGTAAAAATTGTAAATTGCAGCCCGATTTATTTTTTCATCGGTTTACATGTTGAAAAATCTTCGGTTAAGGTTTTAGGGGTCATTTTAGTTCTTAGGGGTCCGAATTGAGCTCGGTATTAGCAAAAAGATAACGCAAATATCTCGTTTTGCGTAACAAAAATGTATCGATTTGTGGGAAATTGTAAATATGAGACATTTATGTTATTTTTTTGCTAATTCCGAGCTCAATTCGGGCCCCTAAGAACTAAAATGAGCACTACAACCTTAACCGAAGATTTTTCAACATGTAAACCGATGAAAAAATTGAATCGGGCTGCAATTTACAATTTATACGAAATTTTGGGCTGCAATTAGCAAAAAAAAAATTAAATGACTGCAATTTGCAAAATACGAACTTTAAATAGCTGCAATTTGTAAATTTTTCAGATTTTAATGACTAAAACAAAGCGTAGATATATTATGAATTTGTGATAGCCAATTAGCCACACACTCGGGTATAGGATTAACATTCCAGTCGGATACACGGATTGTTAAGAGAAAGTCTTAAAACCAAGCCGAGCTCACAAGTCACAACTATAGAACAGTCAACTGCACTGATTTGTCAAACTTTGAATTCAATCATTACGTATTTACGTGGGTGCAACTTAAATATGTTTCCTGGTTTGTCGGATCAAAATCTAATCTTTAATTTTCTCTTAATAAACCCCAGGAATGTCGCACAATTCAATCAAACTACCCCAAATTTCACCTACCACAATTTAAAATCCAACCTTAAATCTCCCTCAACTTTCAAAATTTTGCCCTAATTTATCTCAAAATCAATGGATAAATCCGAAGCAGAAATCCCATTTAAAATCTCCGAAAGAATCACACTTAACGGAACCCTAATTCCGTTAACCTTCAACTCCGACGGAATCCTCCGGTGGGTTGACGGCGGCGATGAAAAGTCCTTGTCTTTGGAGAAGGAGGTTCTAGGGGTTTCAATGGAAGATTCTAGAATCATCCTCAAATGTGCTGTTAAGAGCAATGGTTGTGGTGGTGGGATCCTCTGTTGTTCACCCACTGAAGGTTTGGTGAGGAAGAGTTTAGTTCTGGAAGCTTCTTCTCAGGAGTCTCTTCAGCTTTGGTTCCAGAAACTTCGAGAATTTCTCGATTCTCTTGGTAATTAAACAATCAATTTCATGGCTGATTAATTAATTTGATTACATCTTTTGTAATATGATCATACACTCTGTTTTCATTTAATACTAGTAGTTGATCTATGTTCGGTTTTTACGGTTTTCAATGCACATCTTTGATATTGATTGATTTATGTATAAATGTATGAGTAGTTTTGTATTGTAAAGTTGATATCTTTTGCCATGATTGGAAATAAAAATTGAGACGAATTCAACAAGATCATACAAGAACAATACTTTGGACATCTATATTGAACTGATTGAGTATAAATTCAGGTATTTTAGACCCAAGATGTAGATTTTCAGGGATTGGTAGCATAACTAATTTCATTTGTAGTTTATCTAATAAGCTTAAAGCCTTGGTAGATCTTGCAAATATGGTAATTGATGGATATGGTAATTTGCTGTAAACATGGGTGTAGGTCGACCAAAGAGGCTGTTTGTTTTGGTGAACCCGTATGGCGGAAAGAAGTCTGCCTTACAGATATTTGTTGATACTGTGCGGCCCTTGCTTGAGGATGCCGAAATCCAGTTTACATTGCAAGGTTTGTAATTTTGTGCTTTTGCTCAGTTATTCTGCTTTATTTTGTAGCTCATCACTTAGTTAACTTATGTTTTATTGGTATTTGTGTTGATGTTATTGTTAATAGAAACTAAATATCAGCTACATGCTAAGGAACTTGCTTATGGACTAGATCTTACCAAGTATGATGGCGTCGTTTGTGTTAGTGGTGATGGTATCTTGGTTGAGGTATGCTGTTGAGCACTTACTAATGCATTACTGATTTTGAAGAAAACTTCCCTAAGAGATCTCTTTTATATGGTGTGCGTTGTGGTTTTGGGTGATATCTATTTTTTGCATTGTTGATAAATAGATAGATTATTCTTTGAGTTGAAACTAACAGAATTCAAAAAACTTTACATCAGTCATGCGGATAAGACAGAAATAGACTAACGGAACATTGGCCGTTGGATCTTCCTATAAAACCTTTTAAAATGTTATTTTCTATATTGCCAAAGGCTAAGACCCTCATGTTTAATTTTTGGAACATCCCAAAAATAATGACCGCTTTTTAAATAATGTATATTCGAAAATTGTAGTTCATCCATATGACTATATTAGTATGTTTCCCTAATGATATATTTTACTAACAATTATGAATAATTGACTACAAGTTGCTTGAACTCAAAAATAAAAATTTCAATTATATGCTACCTATTATTAAGGATGGAAAGTAATGGACTCGTATGTTTTTGTATTTGTACTTTCATATTGATTTTATTAGATATATTCCCTCGATTTCAAATTGTATACCCTGGCTCACTTTTATTTTGTATTTAAGGAGGGGGGAATTTTTAATAATGGCTCTGTGTGGGAGTGGTGCATGAAATTCATGGTTAGTAGGACATCAGACTTTAATAAACCTATCTTACCTATACTTGGGATATGGCCGTAATGCACTGTACCACATGTGATTCCTAACTCAGGATAGAAAAGTTGGGAATTCACTATGGAAAGGTGGAAATACAATTGTAGCACAAAACAAGCTCAGCCAATTTTAGATGAATTGCTCAGTGTCTCTGATATTAATGCACTTTTTACAGCATTAGATGTTAATTACAGGGGTTCTGAACTTTAGTAGGTAGTAAATGGCTTGCTGCAAAGGCATGATTGGGATACTGCAATAAAGATGCCTATTGGAGTGATTCCTGCAGGTATATTTTCTACCCTCTAATGTTTATTGATGTATCTCCGTGTTTCTGAATATAACATCTTAAAATTTCTCAAAGTTGAATTATATTTTTAGTTGTATGCTTGAAATCCTATCCTAAGGTGTAAATCTTGTTGTCTGGGCTGATTTATGTAGCACATTTTCATTCTATGTTTTGTTTTAAAGTGAAATTTTGGGATACTATCAATCGAATGCTTTAGAAACTCTTGGAAATCTATTTTATTATTCATTGGTCTTGAAAGAAAGGAGTTCAACAGCTGGATAAAGAGATGAAACAATAACCAGGTTGTGTTGTCGTGTTTTGATTTGAAATGATTGTTTTTATTTTTTTTTTCTTGAAAAATACCAAATCTCAAGATTTTTCCACATCATATTTTGGAAATTCTGTCTGAACTAATCATATCATTCTTATGTATGAATGTATGATGTGCATAGAATTCAGTTTGGTTATTCTTATGTTCACTAAATTTATCTTGATGTAAATTGATAATTTTGTTCAAGGCCAAAACTGTAGGCCTGTAGCTATGCTTTTCTCACTCTTCTACTGGATGTAGGTACTGGAAATGGTGTGGCTAAGTCTTTGTTGGATTCAGTTGGCGATCCTTGTTCTGCAGTTGGTGCCACTGTTGCTATCATTCGGGGTTAGTATTATTCTGCTGGCAAGTAATAAAGGCTTTTACTTCATGTTGATTATTTTACCCAATCAATTGGTGTCTTCTGTTACAGGTCACAAAACCTCCCTCGATATTGCTACTATTTCACAAGGGAAGACAAGGTTTTTCAGTGTCTTAATGCTTGCATGGGGTATGAGATGGTCATCCATTCAGATTATACTATGCTATGTTACTCAAACTGTTTTTTTGACTTCAAGTATATGTTTAGATACTTGACACTTTTTGTTGAATGGACACTAGGCACTTTATTATATATATATATATATAGTCTGAGTAACATAATTTTATTTTAGTTTATTACTTTTTTTTTTTTTTTTTTGAGTCTGAGTAACATAGTTATTATGTCTTCTTTGCTGCTTTACGTTTCTCAGTGTGCTTCAATCACTTACCCTCTATCGTTGAATGCTGTATGTGCTAGGTCTTGTGGCAGACATAGACATTGAATCAGAAATATGGAGGTGGATGGGAGGGGCTCGTTTAGATTTATATGTATGTTTCTCTAATTCTCTTCTAGCATTGTTTCCTTCAAATATATATTCGTCTATGTTTTCTTTTTCTTGTGGCTTTGAAATGATATTGCTGATTTCATTATTCCATCTGCTGAGTACATGGACACTGAAGCTGGATATTTTAATTTGTAAAGATGATCTACCATATGTCCTAATGAGCTTGACTCCAGTGGTGAGGTGTTACAAATTAGACTAGAATTCAGTGTGTTGCAGAAATAGTGGATTAGGATATTATAGGCTTTTGAGTTCTTCAAGCTTTGGAAGGAATATAATTGAAAATGCATGTCTCATGATACTCTATATAACCGATGCCACTTAGATGCTCCTGAAATTAGACGTATCTTAGCTTGCCCGTAACTTAAATAGCTGCTGCTGGAGAGTATATTCTAAATTCTGGTACTTGAATTAACAGGTTGCCCCCCCCCCCCCTCCTCCCTTCCCTCCCTCTCCTTTGTTTCTAGTAGAGGCTATACTTGCTCATCTAAGATTTTTTTGTATCTAAGTACGGCTTCGTTGACACTGTTCTTCTCCTTTTTATATCCACAGGCCGTAAAAAGAATATTTCAGTTGAGGAAATATAATGGGCGTATACATTTCATCCCTGCATCTGATTTCGAAGATTATACAGAGAAAATAAGCCATAAAGCTATATCAGTTCAAGATTTGCCGTTTTGCAGTTTGAAGAGAAAACAGACTGATGCTCAAGAAAGTGGCTATTTAGGGCCTAACATTGACCTGGAAAACATGAATTGGCGGACCATTGAAGGACCATTTATATCAGTTTGGATCCAAAATGTACCTTGGGGAAGTGAAGGTTCAATGCCAGCTCCTAATGCCAAGGTTGGTTATTTTGACGTAAAGTAAGCTAATTACATGTTGAACTTTTTTTTTGATGCCATCTGTAGCTCTTTATTTCGTGGCACAGTGGCATTTTGATAGTCTCATTCGAGTCATGTTATAGCATGAAAAGTCAAGGCAACAAGATAGTCTCCATAAAGAGGGTGAAAATTTAGGCTAAAGAAAATCTATATTTCATGTCATCAAATGATTGCTCTTAGAACTTGGTATCAGAACAAGGTATGGCATAATATGGTTTCCTTCGCAAATGTAAAGAAAACACTCATTTCATCTCTGGGGAATTGGTAGGAAAGAGAGGGTAGGAAAAAGAGAGACCCGGGGGGGGGGGTGTGTTAGGTAACGATTAAGTGCTAGAAAGTATTCAAAAGGTTTTCAAGGAGAATGTAATAAGTAGTACATTTCATGTGATCAAGGAGATTGTTTAGTTGCATCTTGCGTTCCCATTCTTTATTAAATGCGATTATTTCTCTCTACTATATGACAATTTACACCTGTTATTACTTCGGTAACATGCAGTTTTCAGATGGTTATTTAGATGTAATCCTTATGAAAGATTGCCCGAAATTGGGTTTGCTGTCAGTATTGACTAGTTTAAGCAATGGAAAGCATGTGAAATCGCCACACGTCCTGTACTTTAAGGTGAGTTCTTTTGTGTTGTAATTATTAAAAAAAAATGCAATGGCTTATAACTTGTGCTGTAACTGCAATGGCTGTTGCATCTACTATTGAGGTCACGAGGGAGTGGGGTGCCAAAAGAAAAAAAGACATGAGTAGAAGTTCTCGTAGGAAATCTGAATTTCAACATTTTCTCCGTGTTTTTAATTTTTAGAGCAGATTCAAAGATGAAATTCAGCCATAATAGGAAATTTATTTTTGAAAAATGGAACCCTTTATAATGCCTATGTTAAAGAAAGAAAAAAAAAAAAACTAAACTTTTCAGCTTGTTTTGGTATCAGGTGAAATCCTTTATATTGGAGCCCGGCTCTCGTACCAAAGACTCAACAAAAGGAGGAATCATAGACTGTGATGGCGAGGTGCTGGCCAGAGGTAATGGTACATACAAGTGTGACGAAAAAACCTTGATGTCCTACGATAATCTTCAAATCACCATTGATCAGGGTCTAGCTACTCTATTTTGCCCTCCCCTTTGAGTATAAATTGTTTACATTTTGATTCATTCTAATTTAACAACCACATTATGTATTTTTTACCTATCGTCAATAGGATTTCATGTATTTTTCACCTATCGTCAATAGGATTTCACATTTGATCAACGATTGTGTGTAATTAATTGCTTGGAAAGGAAATTTAATACATAGTATTTTTATGTTTGGACTGCCATTTCTCTGGCCCTTTTCTATTATTGGCAAATTATTTCAATCATATATATTCATTGCAAAACTATTGGAATTTAATACGTAGTACTACCTCCGTTACATGTTAATATGTTATGTGCAACGATTAGACATTTTCCCTCTTTGCTTTATGTCAAATCGTTGCACATAACCTATAATGTTCGTGAGAAAGTTGAAAAGCATAAAGGATTGTTCACATGGTTTAGTACATGTCTATCTTCATTCAAAAACCAGAGGTTTAACGTTTAGTGTTGTTTAGATTAAAGCATATCAGGTTTATGAGATGTTGGGAATTCGAAAATTTTAAAACCTAAATAATACGTAGTGAAACATTATCATGCTTTCTAATGATAATTGCACAAGAATAATTAGATTGTTAACAAGTACTCTTTAAGAATAATCACTAAAGTAACATTATTACTCCGTAACAAATTGTACTTTTGTTAAAAAGAAAGGAAAATACCAGTGCAAAAAAATCCATGACATCAAGACAACAAAATTACACAACTTCACCCCATGGAAGTTGTCAGAACGACATATTCAGTGCACCATTGGCATTCCTAAATTGTTGAATGATTCAAAGTAAAGAAAATAAACAAAAATGTGCTTCTTACAGTAAGAACAAAAAAGACTATAGGAGCAGAAGATAACAACGAAGAGAGAACACCAAGCATCGCAACAAGAAGAATGTTAGGATGCACCGAATACATATCCAAGTGATGGTTTGTCTGAATGGTCTACTACATCGCATAATTGAAGTCTGCAACATGTCAAGGCTCGTTTGTAACAGAAAGCCTGCTTTCAGCAAATATAATCTCATGAAAAGATTTCTTATACTACATAAACAAGGGTCAATATGTATCTAGTTTTTCATGTTTCAACTATATATAGGATGTACTGGTAACAGAAGAATGCTCCCTCTGCAAAAATTTGTACTCGATGTAAATTATTCAAGAGTAACGATGATGAACAATGAGTTCATTCAAAAACTGAAATGCACAATTTCACTAACCAACACACAGCACGGGGAAGGAACATCCAGGAAATCATTTCAACAGAACAACGGACAAGGTACATGACAACGATCGTTCCCAGGCAGAACATAAACAAACCATTCAAGAATTGAGGATATAAAAGGCTTCAATATAAGAATAGGAAAGGGGTTCACAGTTTGTATCAAAAGAGCATACTACACTGATAATACTAGAAATTACCAAAAATTTCTGTTAATAAACATTTAAAACTATAGAGACAACACAAATGTATTCAGCATTTTTGCAACAGTTGCAAAGATTAGTATGGTTAGACAGCTCTAACTCTCAGAAAGACAAGAACAAGGAGCAAAGTGTATTATTCAACATATGAATTCTGTTGACAGGTACAAAAAATTTCCTCCTACAAACCAACTCCAGCATCATAAAATCCATCAACATTCGAAGAAGATTATAATATCATCATTCACATTCCAACAAAAGCAGCCATAGCAAGAATCAGTGTCACCTACTTAATACAACGAGCCAAAAGAAAAAGAGTTTGAAAACAGTATTTATATAAATTATATTTACAAGCTCACCCAAGTGAATCAAGTTCCAGCAGAAGGCAAAGCAGCCATGAAAGAGTTGTACGAAGACTCAAGATCAAAGTGAAGCTGCCTTGCTTGTTGCTCAGTCAGTTCATCAGCAGCACCCATCTTAGACAACCGTCCAAGCCACTCTTTCATTTTGGTCTTTCCCTCAAAATCAGGCGGCAATAAACTAAGCTTGTTCAACGCCGTTGAGAGGTCTGATAACAGGGGATAAACCTGATCAACCGCCACCATATTCAATTTCAACGAGTCCATCGCCGTGATAAAGTTCTGAACGCATTCGGCCACAGTGGCAGCTGAAGTGGTGTTAGAAGCAGCAGCAGCAGCCCTATGCTCTACTGTAGCAGGCACCCCAGAAGTCACCAGCCTATTCAACGCAGCCCGGCAATCCATTTTATACTTATCAACAAAGCTCTCAATGCTAGGGACAGTGTCTTTCAACGACGACGAAAGGGTTTTGAAATGGGCAATCAATTTAACACATTCAGCTTCATAGTCTGAAGGGGAAATTACATCCCTAATGTAAGCCTTTTCTAGCTTCTCAGTGGCCTTAATAATGGCGTAAAGCTCAGCAAAATTCTCATACATTTCTCTTTCACGCTTATCATTCCACAGTTTCACTTCCATCTTGGGTAATACTATATGGGTTTTTTAAGAAATCTTGAAATTTTTTGGGGATTTTTTTGGTTTGATATAATTTAGGGTTAGGGTTTCAGAAATTTAAATTTATGGGGTAAAATTTGGAGAAGAAAAGGGACACGCGCAGGATTACTTGTCACAACTGAAGAACAACAACAATCAAAACACAAAGATGCAAACACACAATCGTCAGAATTACATTTTAATCAAATCAACCCATAATAAACAAAATCACAGATCATAATCAACTTAACACCCACAGATTTTTCCAAGATCAACAAACAAAAGAAAACAAACCCAACAAAAATCAAGACTAAAGATCACATCTTTATCCAAAAAATCAAGTGGGGTTCTAACAATTTTAGGTGAAAATTGAAAAAAAATGAAGAAAACCCCATTACAATTACCAAAAATTAGGTAATAAAAGCACAAAATTAGCACCCAATCCATATCATAACGTAAGCAAAGACACACCAAAATTAAAAGGGGAAAAATTGAGAGAATAGGGGAAGAGAGAGAGAGATAGAAAGAGAAAGAAAGACTTACAGGAAAGAGAGAGAAGGCGGATAATTGGAAGTGGGGGTGGAGGTGCAGCAGGTGAAAGCAGGAGAGATGGGTAGGATTGAGGGGCAGAGAGGTTGCGTGTGGGGCATCAACTTAAGAAACTAGTCTTGTTTTGCTTACGCCATTCCTTGTCACACCCACCACTCTTGGGTTGTGTTCTCTAGTCTAGCCTCTACCCTAGCCTATTCCATATTTCTATACATTGCAACTTCTTGTCTTCATCACTTTTCACAAATTTCTTAGAGTATAATAATATAATTATCGGCCAATAGTATATGGGTGCACCGTACACTAAAATAATTCAAAGTTAGTTTTTGCTTTTTATTTGATGATTAAATGAAAAACAATCATTGAACATATTATTTATGGGTGTATGGTGCATCCGTATATGTAACAGTCTCTCAATAGTAAAGCGTGTCTTTACTTACTATCGGCTTATAGAATTGTGTTTAGATAACACTCATTCTCATACTAATAAAGAAGTTTATAAGATTGAATTCAATGACATAAGACTGTTATTATAGTCATTGAAGACGTGTTTTTATAGACTGAGAAATCCCTCAATTCCCCTCTAGTTCCAATTAATTTAATCTAAAATTTGTGTCTTTTTTGTGCAGTTGTACACTTGTACCTTTCAATTTGTAGATAATCTGACCATCCAATTTGTATGACTTAAAATTTACAAGAGGGGTAATTGACCCAATAACTAGAGAACAATTTGCAGATAATCAGATGAACATAAGCCAGGACTTATTATTAGGCCCATTAGCCAAAACCCAAGCCCATCTGACCTGACCCAGCCGGATTTGTCCATAGGCCCATTAAGAATATGGACCTCCCCATTTTCTGAACATGATAAACACTTTTATGAGTTTATTTACCCCTAAGGCCCTAATCAAAAGATACCCTTATGAATTGGGCTCAAAAAATTTGCATATTTTACCTTCTCTCTCCCTTTAGCTTCTATAAATACTTACAAATTTATAAAAATAAAAAAACAGTCCATTTTGTGTGTGGCTGGTCACACCACGTGACCACTTATAAAAAATTAAAACAACCCTTATAACATTGACCGAATAACTCCTATAATACTGATCACGTAACTCTTTTGACACCGATTGAGTAAACCTTTACCACTGACTAACATACGTAGGGCCTGTTCTCTTCAGTTTATTTTCATTTCAGTTCGTCAATTCAGTTCAGTTTCTAATTTCCTTCTCTCATAAAATATTATGTTTAGTTCAGTTCAGTTCAGCTCCATTCAGTTCAGTTCAATTCAGCTCAATTCAATAAATCAGAAACAGGCCCGTAGTATAAGATCTTATTAATGTGTATTCTATATTCAAATATAGAGAGTTGCTACAATGAGTTCAACCAATATGCAAGTTCCGTTAATTGATAATAAATCTTGCCTAGTTTGAAGTTTTTGAACAGGTTATTTCCAATCAATAAGTTGTTATTTCATCTAACATTTCAATAAATAATGTCTTAGTTGTCAAACAAACCTATTTTAGGTTGATTTCAAATGTAAGACAAAAGTTTTACACCGTGCGATTGAGAATCCAATCTTGCAAAATGTCGAAAAGCTTGCAAAGTACATGTACACAGTAGCTTCACACCTTCACTTGGGCCAAGTGGACCTAAATCGATCGTGTTGATAGTCTTGTTACCTCCAAATCACTATTAACACAATCCATTTAAAGAAATACAACACATCATGGTGTTTTGAATATTAAGATATAAATTACATTTGGCCCTAAATTGAAATTTTTGTGTATGAAAACTAAAAGTAAAAGAAAATGTAAATTCATCCATACGTTTTTAGAGAAGTACTGGAAAATAATACGTAAGTAATAAAGATTATGATAAGATTATGACCGGTGAACTCTTCTTGTAAGTGACAAATGTTCACAAATAAGCAAAATATATATGAACATAGAAATTTCCAAGAAACATCATAATACATTGAATAAAATTAGTATTAGTCACACCTCCTTCTAGATAAAACATTGCCTTGGATGTTCGGCAAGCATATAGAACCATTGAAAAATTGAAATATGTATCCCAACTCCACAACACAACAAATTAGCTAGAAATTGAGGTAGAAGTTAGTTAAAAAGTTAGTTATTTCCGTTATATCTCTTGTACCTTTCATATCAACTTCAAAAGAATTAAAGAGTCTTACCCTAAAGTGAACAAAGAGGAGGAGATGGTTCCATGTAGCCAGCTTTTGATTGAAGTTTTAAGGGACACTAAGATATTGTCCCACAACTTTTGGGCCCTCCACATTTAATAATACTAGCATACATCTTAAGTCTTAAGTTACTTTTAATGGTGAAACTAGAATGTACTCTCTCAATTTTAATTAATCTATCACTTTTTTTTTTTTTTTTTTTAATCCCAATCTTTTATATTCTCTTATTTTAGTCAATTTAGGATAATGAGATTAATGACATGACCTTTTTGTAAGCAATTATCAAATAGTTGTAAACTTGTAATAGTAGCTTATTGATTGACCTATTGATTTACTTTTTTTTATCTTTCGGTTCTTTCTTCCTAGCTTTTAAAATTTACACACACGTACTAGTATATGTCAAGAAGAAAGGTTATTATTAGTGTGATAACTGGAGTACTTGTATATTTTTCCATAGTAAGTTTGTGGATGTGAATCTAACTTCTGAGGGTTTCTTATTAAGAAATTTTAAATGTGCCTCTTATTTTATTAAAGGTGAACCATAATTAATCATGTGAATTATTAGCAATTTCCATAGTAGTTAAAATATAAAAGTTATAGGCCGTGTTTGGGGAAAAGCTAAAAGATGAAGCTGATAGTGTTAGCTGACTTTAACTAGTTGATTGTGTTAACTGATTTGACTAACTTATTTTATTAGCTTATTGTAGAAAAGAGTTTGGTAAATGGCTGATTGTTTAAAGCTGATTGATTATGTGAAATGACCAATAAACTGATTGTGGGGTAGTTAGTACATATAAGATTTTTTTATTCAATAAGGGTATAAGTGTCATTTCACCATAAGAATTGAATAAGTTAAGAGCTTATTTAGTGGAATGAACTATTTAAATAAGTTTTGCACCAAACACCTTGAATTACCTTATTTAATAGTTAATAAGCTAATACTGATCAAATAAGCTAATGTTGCCCAGATAAGCTAGTTACCAAACACAGCCTGACAGCCATAGTGATATTGAATAGATAGCAAATTCGATAGCAACAAACCAGTTTCTGAATAATAAAAAATTTAAAATAACATTAGTTTTCATCTAAGTTGCTGTGGTGTAGTGGTTATCACGTTAGTCTTACACACTAAAGGTCCCCAGTTCGATCCTAGGCAGCAACAATAATGCTATGTTTTTGCATGTTATCCATTTTCCAATACTGTTGAGAAATGTTTTTCAATAGATATCATATTGAAACATTAAACTAGAAAAGAGGGTTTTTTTTTTTTTTTTCATCTGATTAATGAGCAGCTTTGAATCTTTAAGGACGTTGATCGAAATCGTTTAAATAATATCACCTTGGCTCCTAAAGAGAAAATTATATATACATAATAAAACATTTGCATACAATGTAATTTTCGGCTATTTCACCAAATGCCATTGAGTACTTTAAAAATTCACCAAATGCCATGGGACTTTTCAGAATTCACCAAATGCCACCGAATTTTTAAAAAATTCACCGAGTGCCATTAATGACTAACGGTAGTTAACTCCGTTAGTCATTAAGGTAGTTAACTCCGTTAGTCATTAAGGTAGTTAACTCCGTTAGTCATTAAGGCTAATTATGCCATGTGGCATATTATAATGAGTTCATTTTATTATTATTTTATTTATAAAAAAAAATTATAATAAAAAAAAAAAAAAAATTTGAACCCCAGCCACTCTTCCCACCGCACCACGCACCGCCCTACGCCAGCCCAACCCCTTGCCTCCATCCCCACCGGCGACCAATACCGTCGGCGGCCACTCTTCCCCCTGACCCTATGCCCCCTACCATCTTCATCCACTCCCCCCCTAAACAACCATCCTCGACACCCTAATAAAACCCCAAACGAAATCTCCAAAATCGAAAACCAAAATTTGGTTATCGATTTTAAGCGAGGTGGTTCAGGGGGTGGAGATGGGAGGGAAAGGGGTGGTTTGGGTTCGTCGGAGCAGGGAGAGATGGAGTGGAGGGGGTTATGAATTTAGGGAAATCGATATTGGGGTTTAAGGTGTCAAAACCCAAGATTTCGATATTTGGGGATTTTAATTTAGGTTTCCGACGTGGTGGTTGAAAGGGTGGAGCTCGAAGGGGATGAACTGATTTGGGTTCTCAAGCGTGGGGAGGGGGGTTTGGTCGTCGGCCGTGGTAAGGGGAGGGATTTTCAAGGGAGAAAGGGAGTTTGCAAATCGCGCGAAGGGTCGCTGGGTGCGTTGTCGGCGCGGACTGGCTACGCTGGGTCGCCGGCGGCGCGATTGCTCAAGGCTAGGTCGCCGGCTCGCCGCCGCGGTGGGGACTGGTTGGAGGCGGGGATATGGTGGTGGCAGTGATAGACGGTGGTCGGGTTGGGTCATGGTGGGTGGTTTTTTTTTATTTTTTTTTATTTTTTTTATTAAGTAATTAATTTACTAATTTAATAAGCAACCAATCATAAGCCACCACATGACATAATTAGCCTTAATGACTAACGAAATTAACTGATGTTAGTCATTAATGGCACTCGGTGAATTTTTAAAAAACTCGGTGGCATTTGGTGAATTCTGAAAAGTCCGATGGCATTTGGAGAATTTTTAAAGTACTCAGTGGCATTTGGTGAATTTTTAAAATGCTCAGTGGCATTTGGTGAAATAGTCGTTTAATTTTTGTTTCATAATGTTCACATTAGTTAAGTAACTTCGCAACATTAATTATCCAAAGTACTCCTTTTTTTTTACTTGTTTCTACAATGTACTTAAAATATTTCATATTTGTCCATTTCATAAAATACAAATTCTTTATTTCATTCTTTATTTATATCTAAAATCAAAATTTGTTTATTACAACATTATCTTGTCCTCTCCTTAAAGATATATATATATATATATATATATATATATATATATATATATATATATATATATATATATATATATAAAAGTGCTAGTATGGTGTATGGACCATGTTATTATTACTAGCATTTTTTATGACTAATAATAAAAGGATATGGGCTCGAAAAATTCTAGCTAGTTTTGGGTTGGTACATGAAGATAATTTTTTTTTTAGAAACACATGAGATATATTAAATATTAAGCAAAAAGTTGATTATTTTTTTAAAACAAAAAATCAAAAACAGAAAATAAGAAATGGTTGTTTTCACTATTCTGTTTCAGTTTTCAAAATTATAATGATTTTAATAAGATTGACCAATTTTTGATTAATTATATGATAACATAAATAATATGATTTCAAGAAAGAAACTAAAAATCAAAAAAAAAAAAATATAGCAATACCAAACGGACCCTAAGAAAACATAATTGATTGAATGTTGTAAATATTAGGACAAATCTTGTGTTAATTAATAAAAAAAAGGAAATTAGTAACTTATTTTTCTTGATGAAGTTAAAAAATTTATGAACTTAAGTATATGATCGATTAATGTTTTGAAATAACTATGCTATACATCCTTTTCTAAATTTTAATAAATGGGGAAAAAAAAAAGAAGGAAAAAACATAAGAAGGATTTGATAGGGAATTTGGAATTACTAAGCTATCATATTGGAACAAATAATAAAGAAGTGGACCTAATAGTTTTATGTACTTTGCAACTAGTACCTACTATTTGGATGCCTTGTTTGAACAATTGTAAAGAGTTGATTTTCTGGTGAAAGAAGACAATTAATAGAAAGAGATGGGTCACCAATGAGATGACAGTTTCAAACTTTCAATAATGATTCAGATAATAGTTTACACACATCTTTATCATTTTATTTCATTAGAGTCACAAACGAAACATATACGAAATTTAAATTTAGATTATCGGTAATTAACATCACAAAAATATAGAACTTATAATTAAACGTTAACAATTACAAAAGAAATTGAATTAAATGATCAACCAATTAAATAACTTACAAAAAGAAAAGTATTTTTTCAGTATTTGAGTATTTCAAACATGAAAGAAAAATTACAAGTGCTAAACTAGTCCTTTTTTTCATGCAAAAAGAAAGGGGGGGAAAAAAAAATTCTAAGATTACATCATATACTACGTATATAGCATCTTGTATTGCATTTCCATTTTTTTGGACTTTATAGTATGATCATCAGCAATAAGCTTTTAACTAGCAAAATTAATTAATGACAAAAATGAAAAAAAGGGAAAAAAAATTAAAAATACAAACCCTATAAGATTAGTAATGTACACAACAACATTACAATTCACCTAATTAAGTTTTTTTTTTTCTTTTTTAGTTCTTATAATAATTAGCATTATTGATTAATATTATTGTTAAGTAGCACGATTAATCATCTCCATAAACTGCTGCATGGACTCTTGCCTTTGCAACCTCATATCTTCATTGAACTTGTTAATGAACGCCTCAACTCGACGGTTCAACTCGTCTTGACCTAGTGATGGCTCTTTCCTCAACTTGTTAACAGTCACCGGTGGTGGTGGTGGTGGTGGCAAGTAATCGGAACGCTCATGGAACGTCTCGGATTTCTTCACCACCGCGGGCATTGGAAATGATTCATCGTTGAGCAAGTCGATTTGGCGGTCATGAGTCTCCCATGTATCGGACTTCTTAAGGTGCCTTGTTAATGGAATGTGTCGTCCTTCGGTTATGGCCTTCCAAGTGCTTTCTAGGGTATCATGTTTCTTTGGCTTGGATACTCTCAATGACTTTCCACCTATCATATGAAAATTAAATTGAATTGTCAAATTATGTTTAAAATAAACTAAAATTCATTATTACTAAGAAAGAAATGTTTTGTTTATATACCTGGAATAAATAATTTTTGAGGATTATATCATAATGTATAAATGATCACTTCTTTAAAATAAGTTGTAACATCTATATTTAAAATTAATTTCAATATTTTAAATCTTACAAGCTTAAGATTCAATAATATTTTAAATGGATTATTACTTATGAATATAGAGAAACTGATAATTTAATTAAAATGAAAACTTAAATAGAATTACAAAAATAGGCTATATCATGGATTATATATATATATATATATATATATATATATATATATATATATATATATATATATATATATATATATATATATATATATATATATATATATATATATATATATATATATATTTTGAAATGTCACACCCTTATTACTTGTATTATATGCACCGACCACTGAAATTAGTAGGAAATTGTTACCTTAAATTCAGTTAGAGGTCCAATAATAATTTTCAATGTATTCACACCAAGTAGAGAATTAAAAAGAATTTTAACTTTAAGGGAAAAAAAGGAAAATAAAAAGAGTAGAAAAGTAGTTAGTCAAGGTCAACTTTTCTAACGGCTCCATTAGATCTTATTTTTTTCCTCACTACAGTAAAGCCACTTCATTTTTACGCTTTGTTGATTGATTTTAAAGCTAAACGAAGATTCCAGCAAATTAAAGTACAAATTTCAGATTAATTTAATAACATTTTTAGTCAAACGTCACAATCTCATAACGCAACACCCAGATTACTCCTGAGATCTCAACTACGGAGTAATTAATTTAACAATCTCTCCCCTTCTAATCCGCGGATTAGATCATAAACACATGTACACCTCATAATGCGTACGCAAATTTTCTTAATTATGATTACTTAGAATACAACGAAAAGGGGGATATGCTATTTGTAGAATATGTTGGGAAAAATTATCTCATTTTCTAACACTCTAATGATTAAATAAACTTTGTATATTTTAGTTTGTCATACTTAAATAAATGTTATAAAACACACATAACATGACAACTAATTACGAGCAAGAGAGTTAAATTTGGTTACCTTCAGAAAGAGCGGGTTTAGCCTTAGCAGGACGCCGATGATGACCGAACCTCGAAGAAGCCGGTGGTTTCTCGGAGAAAATCGCCGGTGAAAACTTCTCTTGCCTCCTTAACGGCGAAGATGGAGACGACGAAGGCGGAGGAGTCCACGTGGATCTCTCAACAACCTTAGATATATCTTCTCTTCCCTTACTCATAACCTCCTCTTCAACAACTCTTTTTTCTCTCTCCTCCTCCTCAACCACCCTCTCAACATCCTTCATGGAAACGACGTCGTCGTAAAAACCAGCTCCAACGACATTATCAACAACAGCCTCCGCCACCGAAACGACACCGTACGGTGCAAACTGATCAGCACGAACAGCGATGAAGTCATGATGGCTATGACCATGATGTTGCTGGCTCGCAACCTTAGCAGCCGCCGGAGCCACCGCGTCATGGTGGTTCTCCTGGTGGTTGTGGTGGAGGCGGGAGGTGGCGACAATGGTTAAAATGATAGCGTTGATGATAAAGTAGAGATAAGGAGGGCGGAACCACGAGCGGAAGGTGGAGATAAGTGACGGTAGCTCAGCGGTTGCGGTGGCGGAGGCCGAGCTTATAATGGCTGGCATGGACATAAATAAAAGGACTGCAATGGAGAGGACACCGGTTGACATTAACATAATTTGAACCGATGACATTATTAAGGTTTTTTCATTATTCGCCATTAGACTATTAAGTAAAATAAAAAAGAACGGAGGAAATAATAATAATAATTTATTTATTTTTTACACGACAATCAAGTATTCGAGCAACAGAAAGGAATGGAGGGAGTATTTATTTGGTTTGGATCGAAAAGGAAAAAGAGAGTAAAGAGAAATACTGTAGGAAGTTGTGGGTTGCTTGGGGGAGTGGAAGGAGGTGAGGGAGAATTATATAGAGGGGTTCACGGGGGTGGTGGGGTCGAAGGTAATAACGCGAGGGACAACAATTTGCGCCGTTGGATTTGGATCAAATGGTGATGGGAAGACATGGGGGTTATTATTAATCAATTTTATTGCCCAATAATCAATTTCATGGGGGTCCTAACTAATTTAATTTGTGCTAGTAAATACAATATTTTATTATAAAGAATTAATTATTATTCGTATTTTTATTTAAAAAAATTCGCAAAATGGACGATAATCTATTTTCCTAATTCCTACACCAAAAAAAATGGAGTACTATTTTATACTTCGTATTTATGCATATAAAGACAGAGTACAACATTTAAAAGTGGACAATATATAGTTTAGGTAAGATAAAATTTGACTGTCAACATCAATGTGTGCATCCTCTTTTTCTAATCTTAATTTTTATTTTTAATTTTAATTTTTTTTTTTGGTATAATTACTAAGCTAGTGTGATAATTAAATGAGGAGGTTTTCTTTTTGGGAGGGTTTTTTGGTTCCCTCTAGAGTTAGGAAGGTTTTTCTAGCCTCTATTGCTAGATATTTTCTGTTTTTTGAAAGTTTTCCTTCACTCTTTTCCTTTTCTCTCCTTCTCTTTCATCTTTTTTCTCCTGATCTCAATTATAAAAATTTATAAGGGCTTCCACCGATGTTTTTATCGGTGGTAAGCCCCAAAAATATTTTTAATTGCTTTGAATAAATGGACCCCATCTTTATGAAGGTTTTTATTCAATTAGGTTTTTTTTCTTTGTTTGTTCATGTGCTAAAGTTTGAAGATTTAGGGTTTCATCGTCTGCGAAATTATATATCTAGAAGATCATATGAGTTTTTTCACCCAAACAACTACTCATCGGTGGATCTCGAGCCGAATTAGTGTTAACTCACAGATTTTCTTGCTTCGGATGAAGTTATTATTAAGGCGATCGTTGATCGAATCTGCGATGTAACTAGTTCTTAGGTGATTTGTACTTGTGTTGGAATTTTAGATTTCCTAAGAATTGTTTGAAAGTGTCGTTTGGTTATCTTTCATTAATGAAATTCGTTTCTTCTCGTAAAAAAATAAAATAAAATAAAATAAAATGAGGGTATTTTACTTATTTGAACTTATTTAACGAAATTATTTTAACTTTATAAATTGAACTTTAGGGTTTGTTATATTTATGTGATTTTCATTTATTTTAACTTATTTAAGTTGTAATTTAATATTTGATAACCCTTATCGATCTTGATTAGAATTTTTTTTCCTTATCTAATATTTTAACTTATTGTGAAAAGACCCAGTTCACTTTATCTTATCATAATAATATTCTATAAAATTTAAGTTCATTAATATTACATATTAATTAAGTTTAGTAAAATTAAATTTTTATATATACAATTTGTTTCTTTAAAGAAAAATATAAAATAGAATCAGTTAAATAAAAGCTTTAATCAATAAATAATTTAACTATAGATAAATTTCAAGCAAAATTAATTTCATTTCACCAAAAATAATTAACTTTTGAATTAGTAAAACTAATTTCAAATCAGCTATTGTTAGGTGAAAAGAGCTAGATGATTTTCTCCCCCCCCCCAAAAAAAAGTCTTGAATTTAGCATGATTTTCAATATGCGTATTACGGAGTACAAAATTTTGATGCTGCAAAATTAAAAATTACATTAAGATGAATCCAACTAGATTTCACTTGCTATAATTTTTATTTTAGACTTGAAAATATCACCGTGTAAAGAAATATACATTAATTTGAAACCTTTTGATTTACATTCCCTCCATTTCTTTTTATTCACTAGGATTTAAATTTTACCGTCGTCTTTAATATACTCGTAGGAAGATGAGTTTTCACATGAGGAATTTTAGTAGATAAAATGATGGAATATATATAAGCAGCTTTATTATATATTTTTTTCATTGCATTGCAAAATTTTCAAAATAATGAGTAAAAAACTAATTATATTTCCATTTCAGAAAGTTTGATAAAATATACAAGTTTAAATAATCCAGAGTACGGACTATAGAGTAGATAGAAAAACGTACATATAAGGAACCATGCATACATATATAATTACCAATATATGGAACATGGGCCTTAGGTTGCACACACCATATTACCACAATGTACATACATATTTCTATATTCAAGAACAAAATACAAACAAATTAAGGTATTCATAAGAATGTAAGTTAGATTCTTATAAATTTTGCTTGAATTGTAAGTATATTTCTATGTGGTTATACTGAGGAGTAAAATTAACATGCTCCCTAAACTTACTGCTAAGGTAACACACTCAAATTGCGCGCATCGCTTTCTTGAAATGCAAATTAAACAACATTGCTTTATGGGTTTTTTCCCATCATGTTCGTATTATTATTATTATTATTATTTCATTATAATTTTTTTTTTTTTTTTTAATAAGACGAGTCAATATTATTATTATATGAAAAGATTTACAAAAGAATGCAAATTGAATTGATATATCTCTATCTGGTCTTAAAGTTGTTGTAGCTTGTAGTCACTGTAGACGAAAGAGTCCTTTTCCTTGTATTTTTGCATATGCTGGCCGCCTGGCCGACACCTTTAAAATGGCTAGCCAGTTTTTAACTTTAGATTGAAACACATAACAAGTTAGCAATCATCTTGTGTGCAGCCAATCACATCGTGTGGCCACTTAAAGTAACCCCTAAAATACCGACTGAGTCCTATAACACTGATGACCTAGTAACTCTATAACAATGACGAAGTAACCCCTGTAGCACTGACCAAGTAACACCTATTATACTAGTGAGACTTAATCTAATTAGTTGCATAGTATTTTATTTTTTATTATTTTTTTTTATTTGAGATGTTTAATTTAGAAATTTGTTCTCTACTTTATTTTCTCATGAGTTGGGTGCCGCATTCACATGCCTATATTATTTCTTTTCAATGTTTAAAATCGTATACAAATATTAAAGGGTAAGTAAATTAGGATAGAGAGAATAACATCAAGTGCTCCGATCATATTGTCCATAAATATGTGCGTGCAATTGCAAATAATATTGGATCGGGAGAATAACATCAAATATTATACACTCGTATATCATTAATTGCAAATGAATAAACTACTTTTAGCTTAGAACTCACGTTCCATAATTCCTATGAAAATGTCGAAGAAAATACTATATTTTGAGACAGAGTGAGTAATATAATTTGGTTATATTTCTTCTCAAAGAGCATTTCTTTTCCTTTTATATCCCCTATAAGCTAAGTGAGGTAAAGTTTCTTGATCCTATAATAATCACTAAATCCAAGTGCGATAATATTGGATAATGTAAACTTTGGTAAAGCACGATTTTTTTTTTTTGGAACAAATGATTATGTCCAGAATTTACAGGACATAAATTTATGCAAAATTGAAGATTGCCATTTCTAGAAAATTTACGGAAATTTATAAAAGTTCATATACCATACAAATTGTACGGAATGTTATAATATTAGGCGCAGTTTTCTACTGCTATTATCATATTCAAGACTGACAGTAAACCTTTTTTATTAGGATATTTGACAATACAACTATAATATATAATGATCAAATGTGGCTATGTCTACATATGTACATGTCTATTATGTCACCACATAAGTGACTATATAAAGTATATTGAACCGACATCTCTAAACTCATAGTTTAATCTCGTTTAATTTTACTGTTAAAATTCATTATTAGAAGTCAGGAAGGAATAGATTAAAAGAATCCTTACCCGGCCCTCAATGCGCTCATATCATGAAGCAAAATTGTCATTAGTAGGTCAATTCTTGCAATTGTACACTACGGCCCTATACCCCCTATATATGGATAATTAATTGTATATATATACATTCCAATAACCGTAATTATTTATGCATAAACAAATAATCTAGAAGGGTAATAATTTGAAAACAGAAAAGAATAGTATTACCTTACTCAAGAGTCCATTACATAGCATTTGAATAATTTTTTGATATTGTACAAATTAAAGTAAACCCTAATGAAAATGTAATGAAAACAATACAAAAACTCAAAATCATTACTGTAATTAAGTGTCATAAAAATGTTTGTATAAAATAGAAGAAGAAAGTGGAAAAAATTATACTCGTAGTAACATTAATTATTTAATGAAAGTAATTGACTTTAATTAATAAAAAAGCAAAATAAAATGGTGAACTTAACAAAAAAAAAAGCAAGCGTTACCTGCGGATCCAGAAACGCCGGGAATAAGGTGGCAAGGGGCCCATGCGCTATGCACGTGATTTCAGTTGAGTTTTGACAGCCGACCATCTTTGTTTTGCCAGCTGAATGTGCGCACACTTGTACTACTTGCTAGTTGCTACTCTACTCTTAATACTTGTACAAATTTTATAAACCACTTTTACTTTTTCTTTATTTTTTCATCATTTTTTTAAGGAAAAAGTGTAGCATAATCTTCATGTTTTCCCTTTAGCCCTACCTCTTAATTTGCATATTGCAATAATTTGCATTACTAGAATACTTGAGTTGAGTGTACGTACATATATGGTGTTTGTTATATTGGGTGCGTGTGTGAGTGTGTGGGTCGGGTCTTGTCAAGTTAGAATCAAATTGTAAAAGCGTAAGATTTTACTGACATGCATATTCAAGTCGTTATATCTAAATTTAATTAAATATATTTAAATTATGAGTTTAAAACCTAATTATTAATAGAAAATAGTTGTTTACTCAACATGCTACCAACAACTGATAATATATATTTATAAATAATCATATATATGTTAAACTTGTAAGGATTTCGCTAGTTAAGAGAAATAAGTAAAATCGAATAGAATTGTAATTCGAATCGTATGATATACATAAATAGTAAAATCATAAGATTCTAAAACTTAAATCAGAATTTTCATAACAATGTAAGCCACTTTGATATATATATTTATGGCAACCGAACAAATACTAAAGGTTGTATAATACTCCTTATTTACTCCATGAAAATTCATATAGACTATTACACTACATATTGAACCATTAAATATTATATATACATAGTAGCAACTAAAAACTTTAATGACATATATATCCATAAATTTCCTCCATTCTTAAGAAATCACAACTTGGAGATCTCATATTGTCAATGCACATATTATACAATAATATTTATATTTTTACTTAAATTTAAGAAAAAAAATTAGTATAAAAATTAGTACGTATTGAAAGTATATAATATCGTGACTCCAATATATATAAGACCTCATGTATATATATACTTCATATATTTTTTAATGTATAAATCACAAAAAATGATTAATTAAAAGAGGGGGTGTGTGAATAGTGTAAAATTTGTTTGTTGCAATTAAAAGAATAATGTTTATGACTTCATCTTGTAATAAAAAAAATTATTCATGTGCAAGTATATTAGCTTTTAATGTTCGAGATGTCCTTACTTAAAGGTGATGTTGATAATAAGTGACTCACCAAGTTCTTTATTTTAATGGTGTTTCATCTTTTTCCTTCCAATGCAATCATGTCATATATTGATTTTGAGTTGTGAAAAAAAAAATTGTACTAACGCAGTAGTATATATTTATGAGCTTTTGGATGTCTCGTTGTCTCGATCATCATGTGAAATGTCAAGTGAAACATATTGATAAAGAATGAAAACTATTGATTGAAAATATGTAATGTATGTAAATTCTAGATAGATTAGTCTAAATATTATCTTCATTTATACGTATGCTCCGTTCTCTTCACCTTAATTTTGTTGAATTGAAATTATTTTTACTGAACTGAATTTAATTTTGCTGAACTTAAATTATTTTTACTGAACTTAAATTATTTTTACTGAACTGAAATTATTTTTGCTGACTTTCTATTATAATTCTTCTTTAACAAAACTGAATTTTACTGAACTGAACTTATTTTTACTCAACTAAAATTAATTTTACTGAACTGAACTTATTTTTACTTAATATTATTTTTTTAAGATGAAGAGAACAGGGCCGTAGTGTATTGTTTCTAATATAATTATTACTCCTTTGAAAAATGGGGAATAGAATTCCGACTGCTTCCACTAAGTTTTCCTCTTTTCTTAGCATAATTAAAAATATTGAAAAATCATTTTTCACAAAAAAAAAGAAGATTTTTCATCCAACCAAACAAAGCCTTAGACCCTGTTCTGATACGATTATTTTCAATTTAGTTCAGTTCAATTTAGTTCAGCTCTAATAAGTTTAGTTCAGTTCAACTCCTAATTTCCTTCATTCTCTGATCTTATAATATATTCAGTTCAGCTCTAATAAGTTCAGTTCAGTTCAACTCCTAATTTCCTTCTCTTATAAAATATTCAGTTTAGTTCAGTTCAGTTCAGCTCTAATCAGTTCAGTTCAACTCTAATAAGTTTAGTTCAGTTTAACTCAGTTCAGTCAATGAGAACAGACCCTAGTCTTCCACCCTTACAAAACCAATCTCATGGCCAATTTGGGAGAAGTATGTAGCTCTCCATGCAAAGTTAGTGAGACTTTCATAACTTTTATCTAGATAATCTTTACCACTAATTAAACTCGTCTTTTTCAACGTCGATCTAAGTATAATTATTATATCGGAATTTCAAATTAGATCTATATATACGTAATGTGTGTTTAAAATATCAAAGGATAAGCACGACTATCTTTAAAGATTATTTACAAGTTAATTGACAATTTAGATATATAAGATGAACATCAAACTATATAGTTACAAATTTGCGCCAATGGTTACATTAATAATATAGTTCATGTCTATTAGACTATTAGAGGGAATTTTTCGAAGAAATTTAATTTTGTTTTTGGATGATAAAACCGACAAGTCACATGGACTAAAAGGAGATTTACGACAAGTGTATATAAGTATGTCATCATAAATTAAATAGATTATTAAGGTCCTTTTCTACGTATTTGCTGTTAGGATTTTATTATAATGGTTAGAGTTGTTACATCAATCATACTAGCAAAATCAGAAATTGTCCATTGCAATTAAAATTTTGTATTATTCGTTAATAAAGTGCTTAATTTAATTGATTTTTTCTTTCTCTAATTAAAAAATATCAGTCAACCCAAATACATGTACACTATTATAAGGAAATTTGTATGATACGATGATTTAAGTCTTAAGTGTGCATTATCGGATGTTTGCACTTGTCTGTTGTTGCTTATAATTATTTTAATTAACTATTTCGCTGACCTAAATATAATATTAGGGCATAATTTTTTTACTTAAGGATCAATATTCCGTTGTATTTAACATGCGGTATAACCAAAATTCTAATAGCGTAAAGTTAAAATAAATTTTAATTACACTTTTGCTACTCGTATTAAAAAATGCAGCTTTTTTTTAACACCAAACAAAGAAACATATGAAGTATATATTACTTAAACTTCAAGTTTACAAAAGCTAACATTAGAGCATCGAGATAAAAATATAATGCAGCTACGTTGAAGTTTAGTTACAACTGGGGATTAAAAATTGAACATTCAACTGGGGATGATTTACACCTTACATTACGGAGTACTACTTATAAAAAATCTACACGTCTTTTGTATAATTCTATGTTTGTCATTTATAAAATGACAACCATAATTTTTAAAAATGAATGGTTAAGATTTTATGATTTTTGAATTACTTTCAAAGTTAATATTAAATAAAAGCAAATATACTTATTTTCTTATAACAATTAATATATTTTTCAGATTTTTGTTTTTATTAATAATTTAAACTGGATTTCATATATAAATAAATAAATAAAAAATTGAAAATTAGAATACTTAATTTTCAAAAGCTTAAAATGAATTCCTTGAGAAATATGAATTTTTAATATTTTAGCATTTAAAAATATTGTAAAAGTAATTAAACCATAGTCGTACAATTTTAAAAATTGTAGTAGTGGTTTTAAAATTTTTTACTATATAGTTTGCACTTTTCTCTTATATTTCTAATCTAGATCATATTCTTGTTAATACACAAGATGACGAGATATTTCTTTCCTTTTCTTTCTCTCTTTTAAAAGTAATTAAATCATAATCTTATAATTTAATTGCAGAAGATCAAGTCCATAAGCAGTCTCAGGAACAACATCCAATTGAGGTAAAATCTACAGACGAAGCCCAAGACTATAAGCCCGTCGTCTTTGCTTTGGTTGAGACCCACATGGGGGGTGATCAAGCTGATAGAATTGCTTCGATTCTCGGGTATAATGGCCATACTCGGGTGGATGCTCAAGGTTTCAGTGGGGGTATTTGGGTATATTGGAAGCCGGAATTAGTTTCCATTGATCCCATTATTAAATCTAACCAATACATCACTATGACTATTTCTAGAAGAGGTGAGGAACCATGGTATTTCACTTTAGTCTATGCAAGCCCTGACCCGACCAAGCATAATGATTTATGGCAAGAGCTCTCTGATTTTGCTAGTCAAAATAATAAACCTTGGTTGCTAGCTGGTGATTTCAATGAAACCCGGTTTGGGTGGGAAAGAAATTCAAGTTGCAATGAGAGAACTAGGAGAACTGAACGTTTTAACCACTGGGTAGAAGACAATCAATTAATTGAAGTCGAATTCTCAGGATCACCTCATACATGGGCTTGGGGTAATTCCATGGCTACAAGAAGGAGCGCAAGGTTGGACAGAGCTCTCTGTAATTCTGAATGGGGTCTGTTTTTTGATAAGGCTCGTGTTAAGCACTTTCCAGCCATCCAATCCGACCATTGTCCTCTTTTAATTTCTCCAAATGGTTTTGCACCATTGGAAACCTTATACCGCCCTTTCTGTTTCCAGGCTGCTTGGCTATCGCATGAAAACTTCAACGAATTTTTGTGTGATAAATGGCGCACTGATATACCTCTTATGAACCTTCTCAAATCTTTCTCTTCTGACTTACAACAGTGGAACAATACAGGGTGTTCAGACAGCTTTAGCAAGTGGGAGGGACTCGGTTTACTGAAACTTGAGGCTAAGTTACGAAAGGAGCTGGACTCAGTGCTTAATCAGGAGGAGATGTTATGGTATCAGAAAGCCCGTGTTGACTGGTTGCAACATGGAGACCGTAATACTACTTTTTTCCACCTTAGTATGGTAGTAAGACGTTGGAGGAACAATATTGTCGCGATTAAAGATACTGATGGGCAATGGCTGTTTGATCAAAGTCAGGTGAAATATCAAGTGGTATCTTACTGTGCTCAATTATATACAGATGATGGTGATGAGGGTACATACAATATCCCTTCTGGAGTATGTACAGCTTTCTCTAATTCTCAGTGGGAAAGCCTTAATCGACCCTATACCAATTGCGACATTGAATTTGTGGTGAAGAACATGGGCTCACTTAAAGCTCCTGGGCCTGACGGCTTCCAGGCTCTTTTCTACCAAAAGAACTGGGATACGGTTGCCCAAAATGTGTATGACCTGGCTAAAAACGTGCTGGAGGGTAAGGGTACGCCAGATTTATTGAACGAGACCTACCTTGTCCTTCTCCCGAAAGTGGATAGCCCTGACTCTGCCTCACAATTTCGCCCTATAGGCCTGTGTAACGTGGCTTATAAAATTATAACTAAGGCGATTGTAAATCGCATAAAACCCCTGCTGCCCAAAATCATAGCAAATACTCAGTCAAGTTTTTTCCCTGGCCGGCAAATCACAGACAACATTGTCATTATGCAAGAAGTCCTGCACACTATGAAGAGAAAAAAGGGGGGTAAAGGCTACATGACGATCAAAATAGATTTTGAAAAAGCTTATGATCGTCTCAAGTGGGCTTTTATTCGCAATACATTGATGGAAATGAACTTCCCTATCCGGATGATAGAGGTGATTATGGAATGTATCACTACTCCCTCAATGAATATCTTGTGGAATGGTGAAAAGACGGATGCCTTTTACCCTACCCGTGGCATTAGACAAGGGGATCCGCTCTCACCGTACCTATTTGTCTTGTGTATGGAACGCCTAAATCAAGTGATTGAAGAATCAATAGTGGCAAATAGGTGGAAGCCGATTTATGCTAGTAGAGGTGGACCGCTCCTTTCAAATTTATTTTTTGTGGACGACTTGATTCTATTTGCGGAGGCTTCAATCGAACAAGCTGAAATTGTCAGAGACTGTCTTGATCGGTTTTGTGTTGCTTCAGGACAGAAGGTGAGTCTTCCTAAATCCAGGGTCTTTTTCTCTCAAAATGTCCACAAAGATGCTCAAAAGGGCATTAGTGAGGCTCTAGGAATGGACGTAACTGAAGACCTGGGATTCTATCTTGGTATGCCTACTCTAACTAATACAGTGACCAAGCAAACCTATGCTTACCTTTGTGAAAAAATTGACCGTCGACTTTCGGGATGGAAATCTAAGTACTTGTCTCTTGCTGGGCGTGTCACTTTAGCAAAGTCAGCCATCACCACCATGGCTAATTATTCCATGCAGTCCGCAAAAATTCCAAGAACAGTGTGTGACAAAATCGATCAAAAATCTCGAAGATTTATATGGGGTGGAAATGAGGAGAAAAACCGAATTCACTTACTCTCTTGGGAAACTTTGCAAATTCCTAAGGAAAAAGGAGGCCTTGGAATTAGATCAGCTAGACAATCCAACTCTGCCTTCCTCGCAAAGCTCGGGTGGAGAGTGCTCAATGAGCCAAATGCCCTGTGGTCCAGAGTACTTAGACACAAATATTGTAGTGGCCAGTGTGACATAGATATGTTTGTTCCAACGTCAAGTATGTCTAATGTTTGGCGGGGAATTACTGAAAATGCAAGCTTGTTAAAAAAAGGTTCAGCCGTAGCCATAGGGAATGGTGGCAGAACACTTTTTTGGGACCATGTGTGGGCCACTGATGGTCCTCTCCGGGATGTTGCCATTGATCAAATCCCAGAAGACATTGATGGAGCAATTGTAGCAGAGCTATGGGATGATGATTCAGGATGGAAGTGGGACAAAATAGTTGATCTGCTTCCCATTGCTGCTCTGAAGAGGATTGCTGCTCATAAAGTCATACAAGACCCTGAATTAGAAGACATTAGATACTGGAAAGGGGGCAAAGCAGGTGAATTCTCTGTCAAGGATGCAATGAGACTGATTAAAGATGACAGCATGGTTACTAAAGATCCTAAATGGAATTTAGCCTGGAAAACGCCTATTCAACAAAGAATTCGAGTTTTTTAATGGTTGGTGTTCCATAATAGGGTATTATGCAATGCAAATAAGAAACTCCGCCATCTCACTGATGACCCAAGATGCAAGAGATGCGACCTCAACACAGATGAAACTCTTTTACACCTATTCAGAGATTGTCCTGCAGCTAGAGAAGCATGGGCAAGCGTTGGAAGTGCAGAAAATTACCCATCCTTTTTTTCAGGTGATCTCTCCTCATGGCTGGTGCGTAACTTGAAAGGGGAAGAACTTATTCACTCTGAGAAATGGCCAACATGCTTTGCCATAACTCTTTGGTGGATATGGAAATGGAGAAATGGTGAATTATTTGGCAATCCTTATGAAACCCCAAGTGATGTGGGTGTATTTATTCGATCTCAAACTGATTCTACTTGGGAGGCCTTGACAGGAACCACTCAGTCCCCCAAGAATCCAGGCAGTAGTAAGTTCAAACAGGAGACTCTTATCAAATGGCTGGCTCCACCAATGGACTGGTTCACTTTGAACACAGATGGAGCAGCAAAGGGCAACCCTGGGTATGCAGGAGGTGGAGGCATTATACGTGACTGTCAAGGGAATTTTATGCAGTGTTTCACAACAAACTTTGGGATATGCAGTGCCTTTAGAGCTGAGTTACTAGCTGCTGAAATAGGACTACAGATGGCAAGTAAAATGGGATTAAATAAGCTGGTTTTGCAGATGGACAACAAGGCAGGAATCGAGGCTCTCAGCAAGGGTGTTGTCCAAGGAGGAGAATACACTCGTATTCTCACTGCTTGCCATAGATTAATTACTTTTTTCAATTAGTTTTTCTCATTGTTTTAGGGAGGGGAATAGGGTGGCGGATCGACTTGCCAATATGGGGGTCATCCAAGAAGAGAGGGTTATTTATTTCGACACTCCTCCGGTCGAAATAAATAATCTTCTAAGGGAGGACGTTATAGGAGTGGCTTGGCCATGTCTTGTAGCTTGATTTGGTTGTGTTTTTATTTTCAATAAATGGGCTCCGACCCTCATTTGCACCAAAAAAAAAAAAAATTTAAAAATTGTAGTAGCCCTTTTTAAATTAACCAGATGTACAACACAAATTACAAAAGTTATTTAAAAATGATTAAAGTTATTATCCAAATTATCCATATATAAATAAAAGTCACTTGTATTTTTTTTTTATTGAAAAGTTACTCTACAAGATTAAAATTCAAATTCCGATCCATTGCGACAAAGTATTTACATCATCTCACAAGAAAAAAGTAATTAATTATCCTCATAGAACTTATAAGTTATAAGGCGTATAGCATGGTCTATTAAATTAAAATCAAATAATCATATAGGAAAGAAGTATTATATGTACATAAATTGTGCGTGGTATGATTATTTTTCGAATTATATCAAAATAGCGACTTTTTATTAGTTTTGCCAATAGAATTACATATATTAATAGCTAAAATTGTGATGAATTGAAATGAGGGATAGCTCAGTTGATTAGATCTTTTCTCCCGTTTCAAGATAACTTAGGTTCGAGGATAACCCAGGTTTTAGGATAAACTATTTATTCATTTAATTTTATATTTATTACTTGTATTTATTTTCAAAAAAGTGACGTAGAGAGTAAATGGTTGATAGATTAAAGTGGCAGTTACAGTTTCCACTTTCCAAGCAATTTCAGTTAATGGATAATGGACGGTGGAGAAAATGACCCAAAAATTCTAATAAATACAAAAAATGGAGCTAAAACAGTTGAAGTTAGTTATCTACTTGTGAGGTAAAGATATTGACTAGCCGGGTCCCGGGCGGGGTCAATGGATTACCCATGTGTTTGTGTTTCTAGTGACAAGTCATTGTTATTGATCAACTACTACTTCTCAATCAAACCAAACGGTTTCACACACTTCATAAACAAGAAACAATCTTAAAAGGTAAAATCTATGAAGAATATTATTCAAGATTCTTCTTCAATTTTTTTTTTTTTTTTTTTTTTTTTTTTTTTTTTTTTTATCACCTACCAAGAATATTCCACTATTATTAACCTAAATGGACAATCATCAAAGAACTTAAAATTGATCAAGTACTTTTTTCATTCTTTATTTAATCCATGCGCAACTTGAATTTTATTATTCGCAATCTCTCTTTTGATTGTTATTTACTCGTATGATAAAGTATTTTTATATTGGACATGAAATTCGATTCAACAATATAGATAAAAAGAACGTGGTAATTTTTTATTTTTTATTTTTTTTCCTTCAAACAAGTCTAACCCTACTACGTACTTTTTAATCCTCTTTTCCCATACATACGTTTGTGTAACGTAACGAGGTGAGGATGTCTATGATACAAGTATACAATAATACTGTACTCATTGTTGTAAGATGATTTACATATAGGACAAAAATAAGAAAAGAAAAAACAAAGCATAATGGGTGGTACTAGATTGTTTAAGTTAAGGTTAATTTGTGGACGTCAATTCACTATCAAAGTTGTAAACTTTATGATGCTATCAAGATCGATATTGGATTTAAATTGCATCCTATTTGTATCATTATCGATCTAATATTTGTATGTCTCCTTTTAGGCTACGAAAGATAAGAGAGCAATTAGTGCCAATAATAACGAGGAAGCGGTAATGTTTTGGATAGAAAATAATTAATTATTTTTGTTATCTTTTTCAATTCATCAACATCTATCTCTACCTAACCATATATTAATTAAATTAAATTAAACTTTTGTAATATATCAACTTGAACTTGATCAATTATAAAATCAAATACGCTTGTCAAACATTTGAAACATGGCATAGTTAACCTACAACACAAGGAAGAAGTTTAGAAGCACATGTGTGAAATTGTGAAGCTATGATGTGAGATATTGTATCTGTTTATGACAATAATTTAAAAAATAAAATGTGATTTGTTATAAATTTCTACATTAACAATTAATACCATATTGAAATTTTTATGCTTACTAATAATATAAGCTTATAAAGGGGCCTAGAGATATCCTATCAAATAATGAGTCAAATAAGATTTAATTTGGCCACGATATGTACTGTTCAGCTGGAGCTCAAAATAGGTGAACTCAGGCTTGATCGACTTGAGCACAAAACTCGTTGAGCTCGAAAAATTGAGCTAAAATTGACTTGGCTAGAAGCTCAATCAAGGTTATTAGTTGGCTCGAAGTTGGGCTCAAATACTTGGTTTGGTGCTCGGGGTCCAAGTATAAATGCTCAGTATTTCTAAGTTTAATTTAGGACCCAAGGCACAAATTTATATAGGCAATATTGCTAATCTTACGCGTATGAAACAATACAAAATAGTTTAAAAAACTCAACTTTGTTCATGAGTATACGAGTCGAGCCAAAAATATATAGATCGTGTTAAACCCTTCTCATCAAAATATTCATATTCTTCATACTATGTTACTAATTTAAGTTGCTTTTTATGAACTATAATTATTTCCTTATGATTTTTTTCACTATTATTAGTATTATCTTTGAAGGCCCATTACTCAACAAGTCAACATATTTCAAAATACATAATTATAACAAACCAAATACATTATAAGAAATCATAGGAAAATAAAATTATTAGGTATCCCACGCCCTTGTCTTTTTTAAGGGTTATCTTGAAATTAATCCCAAGTGATTATGTGCAATTTTTGATGCATAAAATTGTTTAATCTAGCATGGGGGACTATCAATTATTTCTTCAATTAATTGAGCATATCCAGATTCAGCGAACTTCAAGCCACTTGCAAGTTACGATACATCATCTTATTTTTAGAATGATTGCACTCTTTTATTGTGTTTTATTCAAGTTGTATGCTATATTGCTATGTGTTAATGTGTAACATACTTATTTTTGCAAGGAATTAAAATGCTAAACATAGTCTTAGGCTATGCCCATTTTAACTTATTTAAGTTAATATATTTATATATCAACTTATTTTTTAAGAAATAATTAGATATCCATTTTCTCAAGAGTTGTGTTTTGTAGAGAGCCCTTGGGTCATCGAGTAATGAGAATCAATCATTAGATCTCTTGAAATCAAAGGAAAACTCTTATCACCTGAACTGTTCCTAATTTTCTGAAATGAACTTAGATGAATTAACTTCTCTCAAAATAAGTGATATATAAGACATCCTCTCAAAAGATCTCCTCTAAAATTTGCTTTACTATTAATATGTAGTTGTTTGTATCCTTCCTCAAAAAAAAAAAAAAAAAAAAAAAAAAAAACAAGCTTCATATTTAATTTATCAATTAATTGTTTGCTACTAATCGCTATTACTCATCTTCTCTCAAAAATTAATGTTTGCTACTAATTGCTATTACTAATTTGCTTCAAAGTTCCCCTTTTTTTTAAGCGTGAATTTTTTTTTTTTCTAAAATTGAGAGTTTCTTAATTACATTATGGGATAGTAATTGTACATCGATCTTTTACAATGGACCGGACAAAAGGCTTGTATGGGATAGTGTATGGAGCTCTACTTCAATATTTATTGTTCTTGATCATTCCTTACAACCTAAAAAAAAAGAGTTTATTGTATGAGACATTAGAATAAAAAAAGAAACTCAAATTGCATCCAAAACAAAAAATAAATAATATAAAATATAATAAAATAAAATAAAATAAATGACAAGAAAAGAAACCGATTAAGAGCATTTAAAAGGGTATTATTTTGAATACAGAGTCACTAATAACATTAAACAATAACGTAAATTGAATTTGATTTCCGTGTACATGTACTAAATATCCGTGGTCGGTATCACACGGAGTAATGGTAACTTGGTAAGGGAGCTAGCTATAGCCATAAATGGATAACATATGGTAATGTAGTAATGAACCAAGCTATAAGGTCCATACCCTGGCACCCTGCCACATTCATGGTTCATGTTAGCCGAGTAGTACTTGAAAAACTAAAATTTGAAAACGTTAATTACTCCATTAATTAAGCCATATTCATGCCTTAATTAAGTTTGATCTTTTTATTTGGTGGAACATTACGTCGTCGGTCTTGATTTCTTAATCTAGTCACCTTAATTACTCCACCAAATTGCATACCTTTTCTCAAGTTTTAGTTGCAAAATTTAATTAAATAAAATCTTGTCAAATAATTGATTTCACCATGTCACGTAATCTTGTTATAATAATTATATAATTAATGTTATGGAATCTAGAGTTGGTGTAGTGATAATGAATGCATGGTACTCGTACTAGTTTAGTGGTATCTCTACATCAACAAAAATTTTCATATACAATCCTTATTTTAATTGGCCTCATATATTAATGTGTTAATTTGGAAAAATATTTTCATCAATGTGATATAATGGATTAATTAATAACATACTTCGTAGAAGATAAATATATTATACTCCGTATCTCCCTCTTTCCCAAAAAATAAAATAAAATAAAAGAGTAAAGTCAATAATGGTAGTAGATGCTAGTATGTAATTAAAGGTGTAAAGGAGCTATGCATATATGAATTTCATTAAGCATCTCGAGGTCAATTGAAGCTTGTTTACCTTAATTAAAGGAGTACTTCGAATAATATTGAATGAATCAAACTTAGCTTGAACTATTTTTGAAGCTCAGCTAGAAGATAAATATAGATACTCGTCCATGAGCAATTCGTTTATTTATTAAACAAGTTCGTTATAAGTAGGGGTGTTCACAATCTGATTATATATGTAGTATTGACACTTTTGACTTTTGCGCATATTCCAAACCATATCATAAAATACATGCTTATTCAACCTCTTTCGTCCCGGCCTTACAGATCAAGCTAGAATTTACTACATGCATGCAAGCAAGTC